TCAGGAGTAGCGCCTCTACCAAATCCATATGGCGACCCTGCGTGCCAGAATGAATATCTAATGCCTATTCAACCGCAGGCAGCAGATATCTTATTCGTCAAAAACAAGTAAGAGTCACTCGGAGAGCAAATTGTAAATGAACCAGTGACCAATGAAATAAAATATATATTTGTTGACAGTTATATGAAGAAATTGATCGAAGACGCCGATGTTAACGTCACTGAAGATACAGTGAAGTTACTACAATATTGTTGTTGGGAAAATCCACACTTATCACGGACAGTGCTCAGTGAATTGTTGTGGCAGATTGGATTTGCTTTCACACATGAACTGAAACATCACACAGAATTATTACTCGCCATGCTTCTCATGGAGGATTCATGGCAGACGCATCGTGTTCACAACGCACTCAAAGGTACACATTTTAAATACATGTTTCATTACCATATCGAACTAGTATCTAAAGATGAAATGTAAATATTTTCAGGTGTGCCAGACGAAAGGGAAGGTTTATTCGAAATAATACAAAGAAGCAAACATCATTATCAGAAGAGAGCCTATCAGTGCATCAAATGCATGGTGCAGCTTTTCAGTAAATGCAGACCTGCACACCAACTTTTACACCACAGTCCCGAATTGAAGAGGAAGTGGATACATGCTATTGACTGGCTCCACGAAGAACTCGAAAAAGTAAGTGGTCAACAACGATGAAGAAAAGCTATTAAATTTGGTCTATACATTTATTTGTTTACGACGACTATTAATTTATATTAACGATGGATATTACTTGGATTTTCAGAGACCATATGCTTCTACGGCTCCGTACACTCATGCATACAGTAATTGGTCTCCGCCGGCGCAGTCGAATGACTCTACAAATGGCTATGTATTGGAGCGTAGCAACAGTGCAAGAAAGACGTTGGAGAGAGCATGCGAACTATGCCCCGATGTGGAACCAGAAGTGGAAGACGCAAGTGAAGATTGCGCGGAAGAAGCAGAGAAATATCAACCACAGAATAGAGTAATATTACGATCAGGTCGTAATCTAGGATGGATGTCCTTAGGGTATGGATCCGTACTTGTTATGCATCGTTTTCGTTTGATTCGGTTTTTATTTATTGGATTTATCGTTTACTAATTTTATTCGTTTTTATTTATAGCTATCCTGATGTGACTGTAATACAGCAAATGCTGGAGGAACAACAACCACAGCCCGCACCATCTCCAGTTCACACTTCTCTTTTAGCTCACCAGTTACATAGCCCACAGAACTGTGAGTCGTCACAAAATACCAGCCGGGATCCATAATGAACGCTAAACACTGACGTTCTACCAAGTTGCTGTCTCGGTGAAACCATTTCAAAATACTTAGATGTTACTGCGCCAGCAGCTTGGTGCCCAACGGTAGAGGCACCTGTACAGATATAAACTCGCAAAACTGTTCTTTTTTTGCAACTGGTATTCACGAACTTTGCATTTGCAATCCGTCAGTTTTTACTGTGGGCAGTTACAATTCATAACGATACTATGTGGTATAGCCATTTGCACTATTGAGAAAAGAAGAAGATTGGATGATAGAACAGCAGGGCGATTACGATTAAGAACAGAATTTCTACGTATTGGTGGAGGCAATTAATTCTCGTGATTTTTTCTTACACATAACGTACCATGTATTCTTCGTTTCGTGCATCCATGATCGTTTTGGCTTTAAAATTTAAAAAAAAAAAAAAAGGACGTTTTGGTAGGAAGAAATCTCTGAAAGAGGTTGACGAAAGCGAAAGATAAAAACAGAAAAAAAGAAACAATTTAGATGTGGAATCATGACTTGCCTCGATTAATGCATACGAATTCAAGTGTAGGAATACGATAAGATTGTATAAATGTATAGCGAATAGTGTTATGGAATCCCGTCTCTGCCGAATAGAAAACAAAGGTATAAAAGAACGTAAGTTTCCGTATGCCTATGTAAATTTGTTACTAATAAAAAAGAACGTTAAAATGGAACTTTCTAACGACCGAAAGATAACGCTAAAAGTACAGTAGTTTACGATTTAATTGGAAAGAGCAGAGCTACAGAAAAAAGAAAAACTACGCAACTATTGATATTTCACTATTTTAGTCTTTTAAAAGACGATTTAAAAATAAATACACACATACATACACAAATACAGACATACACACATACACACATGGAAGAAGAATTTTCCTTGTACTTAATCTCGAGCATCAAAGAAGGAAAGTCATTTCTCTGTGCAGTGAATTTACGCTGCTTAAGAATTTAGACATACACCAATGATGCCTCCTAGTGTGCTTTCTTTCAGTTCATTCAATTTGAAAGAGTTGTGCCTTCGATATTGTGCGACTCCATTTGTATTCTTAGATAGATGTTTAAGGATCGAGTTGTTGCTTCGAATTCGATTGCTTCTATTTTTGTCTGTTACGTTGACTACTTATGAAAAGCTAAATAATAGAATTGTCGGAACTACGCAAGAGATACGTCAAAAATACGCGGTGCAGAATCGATTGTTTAATGAATTATGTAAATGAAAACTCGAGCTACGACGGGATAACTTTAACTTAACCCTGTATTGCATAATGTGTCCGAATGCAATCCCTAAAAAGTTCACCGAGAACACTTTACAGGATTTATTCATGTTTTTTCTTTGCGAGTGTCAAATAACTGCAGGTTTGCTTACTTATCGTTTAGTTTTGAGTATTGATGTATTTATGCATATAGGAAAAAAACAAGATATAATTTTTATTTATTAATTTAAAATAAAATTTATGCAATAGAGGGTTAATGCCGTAACGATGGATATTGAGATATCGCGAAAAGGAAGTGTCCGGTTTTAGCATAAGGGGTCGCGGTACCGCGAAAAAGACGAGCCTTGTTCGAAGTCCAAATTTTTACAAACAATAGGAATTGAAGAAAGCGTGACGGTAGTAACAAAAAGGGTATGGAGCAAATGTAAAACGCTAATTTGTATCGTTCTATGGTACGATCCCATCGTTGAGAAAAGAGCTGTGGTCTTTTCGCAGTATTGTAAAGCAATTCTGAATTTTCAGTCGGTGAGAAAACGAATTTAGAAAACAGACTAATAAAAGAGAAAAAGAAAAGAAAAGCCAAAAAAAAAGGACACGAGCGTGACTGCGATCGGACAGTTTCTTAAACTTATGAACTGGCCATAGCTCTGACTTATTGAATAACATGTGTTATATAGATATTATATATATAAATAATACTAAAAAAGAAAACTGGGAAAAAAGAGAAATAAAGTCACGTGTAATGAGGATAAAGCGAACCGTGTGTATACATAGGAATTCGTGCGATGAGAAAACCAACGACAATGTCAAGACACCAGGAAATAACGACATATTGATTATTGTTCGTATTTATCAAATATCCACGTTAAACAGTGTACCAAATTATATAATAGCTTCTATCGGTTAAATAATAATAATAACGATAATGGTACCTAATCTTACTCAGATATGTACATATACAACTGCTTTTTATATGTGATAAAAATTATTATATTCCTATTATACATTGAGGTTAGTACGCTATTGTAAATCCTGGTTTTTTGTACACAGACTGTATGCTAAGTTCAATTCTTTCTTTTTGTTAACGAGAGAATGTAGTCTATAATTATTTAATATTTAATTGTATCGCTAAGTAAGCGTAACACACGTCTTGTATGATATATACATATTGTATACATACATAATAACTTGATTTCTTTGAAGAATCAAATGTCAAGATTGATGCGCGTCGAACCTCGAAAGTTTGTTGTGTTATAGTGCATGTACAACCAACGCAATGGTATCGTTTGTTTCTTTACTTTTTATTAGTTTTCTTTTTTCTTTCTAAACGAGCGATAGAGAGGTAAGAAGTGAGAATTACACGAGACGATGTGACAGCCGAGTACATGGTTCTAATTAAACAATCAACTGACTGTCCAAACTATCGTGAATTTTATCGAGCGCGTGCATTCTCATTATCACAAATTTCTGTGCGAAAACGACAGATCAACGAGAGTCGATCAAGATTGGCGGCCATCTTTAATGCGGTAATCATTTCCGATTTCCGTAATGACCAGAGAAACGACTGCGACCATTTTTTTTTTGCGTGGAGCGTCATTGGGAGAGAACAATAACAAGAATAAAAAGGAATATTTATAAATCTCGATAACGAGCGACGGCGATCGATGCAAACACATTTGTCGAGAGACGCCAGGAATAAAAGAATCAAAGGCAAATGTATATGAAGCATTGAAAAGAAGAATAACAGTATACCCAACGCTGTACAGTTGTATGCTTATAAGCGAGGACGAAATCGAACGGAAAAGAACTAGTAATTCGAATTTAAACGGGAAAAATTTTCTTAAAAACGTGAACGAAACGAAAAATAACAACAAAGTTCCCCGTCGATGTCCGTTTTAGTTTTAGTTGTACAACGTAATTTTATGTATTCACTCGATCGACGCTCTAGTCAGTAAAATTAAATAAACGGAAGGAGATTAATTAACTTCGTTTATTTAGTAGCGTAGCGCATTTCACGAAATGTTTTTATTTTTCTCTTTCTCTTTGTTTTACTATATTCCTGTTTAGAATGATGATTCTTTAACGATACTTGTATGTATTATAGAAATGCATCGTGTGTTTTATTAGTATTTTTAATGTGTAGAATCATCGTCGAACATTATTTCCATCGTTTTTGGTGCCCGCGTTTCTCATTTGCCTTTGACGAAAGAACGATTCACCGATTCAACTACCTCGTTAAGCGGACAATGTATTTACACGCGTGCCGATTTCATTGCCGAACCCCTTTGCGCTCCATCACACGAAATACAATCCTTCTGTGTCAAACATTTGTTTCATTTAATGAGTCACGTAAGCGCTGCTCCGAACTTCATATAACAGTAATCTTTTTCCAATTAGAAGAAAATGTTTGAGGTTTGAGGAAAATTACGACACTCGTGTATGATTACAGAACGAAGAAAAATTCCATAGATAAATAATTAAATTCTCATCCAGTCAGCAGACGGAGTTACGTAAACGTTTACACGAGTAATTCAGCCGACAATTTAGATAAGTTTTATGAACTTGATCTTGAATTATGCGTTTCCGAAAAAAGGAGACTCAACAACGACTATATTGTTCTTTCAGCGTTTGCGTTTTTAAATTACGCTATCGCGACGAGTTCTCGGGGTATAAAGAGAACGATTCATCCGAGAAAAAGCCACCACTCATCTTTCATTAATTCCACGGAAATAAATAGGGATAATATCAAGCCAAGCAGAACAAACAATTTTATCAGCAATATTAGTGGGCACGCTCCGATTGAAGGGTTATCGGCACTATTCCGCATCGGTGGCAATCGTTTGCCAATAGTCTGACCCACTGTGTAACCACTGATTTTATTGAAACGTACGTCTACGACGAAATTCTGACTTGATTACTTCAGTGTCATGTCGAACTGTACAGAGATCTCGATTTGAATTCAACATCTCGATCGTTGTGCACGCAAGTTAAATAGTTTTAATTCGTGTTAAATTGGTTTCATGTGCTGTAAATAATTCGAAACTACGTTTCCTCTTCAAGAAAATATGGCTGAATTCGTTTGCATAGAAGACTACAAGACGTACGCCCAAAGACACTTGTCACGCTCTGTCAGGGACTATTATAATTCTGGAGCTGGAGAAGAATACAGTTTAAAACTGAACATCGAGGCATTCAGGAAGTAATTCTAAAAAAGAATAATGTCACGAAAGATTTACTGTTTTCTACATAATCATGACATTTTATAGATTCAGGATACGGCCCCGGTTTTTAAGGGATGTGTCCAAGAGGGAAATAAGTACCGTCGTTTTAGGTGAAAGGATCTCGATGCCATTAGGAGTAGCGCCGTCGGCAATGCAACGTATGGCACACCCTGATGGTGAATGTGCGAACGTAAGAGGTAAGTTTAAACATTTTCATTCTTTAGATGTCATACATAGATTTAATAAACTGTTTATTAAATCATACAAACGCTTTACAAAAATAGTTGCAGTAACGAAAATGTGCCGAGATCACAGTTGCATAGAACCTTTTTCGAATTTCTTATTTTTATAGAACGCTGTGGTGTAGAAATATTAGTGGATATACAACAAAGTAAAGTTCGATAAAAAAAAAATGATATGTTTCTTTTCTTATAAAATAGATGCTTTTACTTTATTTTTCCTTATACGTTATATGTACGTACCAATGTTAAACAATGTATATAACGTACAGCCGTAAACTGTATAAATGTTTTATTCAAGTGGTCTGTGCTTGATTATACGTGCATAGAATTGATATGTTCGCAAATATCTTAAAAAATTATTGCTGCTTAATCGTATATCAATCGTACATGGAACTTCCGGTTTACTTTGAACAGTTTGTACAGAATTTATTTTAATAATGTACGAGAAAAGATTGATTAATTTTGTATTTAGTTGTATATTATAAAAGTATTCGGTTTGTCAGTCAAGAAACTTAATTAACTGTTTCACAGTTTGGCATTAAAGAAATTTTACGAGTCGATCAGTTCTGTCGTAGGTAAAAATTGAGCATTAAAGCGAAGTTATTTGATAAAGTAATAACTATAATTAATATGTAATTCTAAATGCAGCTATATGTTTAAGGCACAACAGAGGGTTCGTACAATATTTACATCGGTATAAATGCATGAAAACGATTTCGCGACGGAGAAATACCGTGCAGCAGTGTTTCTCAAGCTTCACGATATTCTTATTACGTTATATTATAAATAAAATTTCAAATGTTCCATAGTCTAAAGTTTTTCAGTTTATAGGTGTAGTTTCTTCCTCGATGGTTTTCGTTCGAGAAACACTGTTGCAAGAAATGTTAAGAAACATACGTTTTCTGTAATTTCTAAAATAATCTTACAATTTAAAATACATTTTTCCATCGTACGATGGAAAATATTGGAATTAAAAATTTCAATTTTACATGACTAGTTAATAAAAAGGAAATAGGTTTATGTATGTACACATTAATGGAAATGAATTGCTTAAATAGAGACTAAGAAAATAATGGCAGTATAGAAAGAAAAGGAATCAATGTCGTTTGGGTCCCACGTTATCCCAGTTATTAATGGCTTTCATATTTACTTTTTCAATTCTCCATTTTTGCGTAGGAGATGCCGAATCACAATTTGCTACAAAGACTTTTTTGCTCGCCGGGTCAGTATCTAAGCACCTTGACGAATAACCATGCATTAACCATTGTTTTTCAACATTGTAACGCCATAACTGATTTCCTTGGCCTCCGTGACAAGGATACAATGTTACAGGTGCTTTCGTGTCTCCTCTAGAAACATCTAAACAATCTGTACGATCTTTTGGTCTAATATCTTTGTGCCAAGTCAGTCGAAATTCTTGTTCCCCTTGAATTCTAGGATTATCTTTTATGCAAATATCGACTACTACAAAACCATCTCTCTTTCGTTTCTTTGAATCGAGACATAATTCAGGCACACCCATGTTACGGACTTCTCCAGATGCAAAGTCATCCGGTTCGATAGGAGGGTACACCTCGACGAGATCGAAAGCTATATTATCCATAAACCATTTAAACGGCTTACAATGTAATTTATGTCTTAAATTTCTCTGTTCTGTCAAGTTTCCAGGATCTAACGATCTCAAATGCGGTCGCCTTTTATAAATATATTCCGCGTATTCGTCCATCCATACTTCTGCTACTCTTTTGTAATTTTTTCCTAAGAAGTCCCCTTTGCCTGGATTAGGGAAAGGAGGAAACTTTCGATAAATGTGACCCACTCTCGAACAAGGAGCGTCGTACATTTGTCCTCCGCATTGCCAAATTTTAAACGATAACTCGTACTGCTCGCCACCCCATATGTCTAGTTCTGGATCGTATCCGCCCAACTCCCAAAAGAATTTAGCACTGATGGCAAAGAGACCACCCGCCATTACTGGACTCTTAAATGGCTCTGTTGGTTTCTTAAGATCTTCGGGTAATAATGGCAACCGCTTATAGTACAATTCCCAATCGAAAGCTCCTCTTGCTCCTTCATCTTGGGCTCTGTACTCGAACGTTTCGTAAGCTATCACATCAATGAAAGGACAGACACAAGTTTTGTAGTTTTGCGCGATAGGTTCTAGCAAAGGTGGTAACCAGTTGACGTTTGCTTCACTGTGAGAATCTAGAAACACGAGTACTTTTGCTTTTGCAACTTTAGCTCCAGCCAATCGGCCTTTAATTAATCCAGAACGTTTTGGTAATCTTACGATCTTAACTTTTGGCATGTGTTCAGCGACATAATCGTCCAGAGTCTTGGTCAATTCCATCTTAGTGCTAGCGTCGTCTACCAATATTATTTCTTTGAGAAGAGATGGTGGGGAACGGTTAATAACGCTCCAACAGGTACGCATTAAAGTGCTAAAATGCTCGTTATGAAAAGAGACTATCACAGAAACTGAATCAAGATTTCTTAAGTATTTCCTCTTTTTACAATCTGGATGTCTAATGTCAGGAACCGAACGATTCAATGAAATCTCATCACTGAGTGCCCCATTAAAGCCGTTTACCTGATATAGTTTTTCCTTCAGTGCATCGAGAGATGGGGACAGAAATGCAGGCTTCCCATGCTCACCCGTTCCTGTTCTTTTTGCTTCTTCTTCCATTCTTTTATAATCATGCCAATCTATTTTGTCTTGGTCATCCTAATAAAAAATGATTCAAACGTTATGCTGTAGCATCGGTTTAATTTTAAATGAACTTTATGTATTTAAAATATTTTTTATAAATAAAATATCGTCGTAATTCATGCATCAGGGTGCGTGAAAATAATCATACGGTACTGTGCGGAATGCAGAAGGGTAGCTATCGCTAAACCTGTTTCACTTGCATCAACCATTACCAACGAACAGGTCTTTAACCCATACCTGATAGAGATGCTCGTTGAAATTCTGCCTGGAATCGATTTGATTTTTCGGACTATCATCTTCAATAGCTACGAATACGGCTGCCGGTGTTGCGATTTCATGGTTAGGTGATGTCCGTACGTACCGAAATACGACGACGGTCAGGAAAACGGTAAAAGCCGCCAGAAAGAAGAACTTTATCAGGCTTATCACATTCCTCTTCATCATCGTGAAACAATCATGTCGTGTAACGACACTTGACGAAACCCCACCAGCTTACCAAACTATCTATTCGAAACTAACCTCATGTGTAGGAAATTTAGCTTATCAGCTGTTATCTGTGATATGGAAAGTGTTCCGATAAAATACATGAGACAGACACGGTTGCCACGCGTCGACTGAGGATCGATCCCCCGAGATCGAAGCGGTTCTCGACAAGTGGGTCGCATTCGATGCTGGGAAAACAGTTTCCAGCACATCGGCTTTAAACATGTACGAACATTTTAAATGCTTATCTTGCATAAACATTCTTTTTTACCTCTAAATGTAAACGAGTTATCAAACTGCCCCACCTTGTGTTTCAATATATGATAGAACATTTTGACCGGCTCTCCCTATCGTTTCTCGTTTCTTTGCTTCGCTCCTACCGTTTGCCTGCAATAGGAAAACTGTACAAGTTCCAGACACTCTCTCTTAAATAGAAAGTTAGTTTACATCGAGCGTTTAATACGCGTAACAAGTACTGAGATTCATATCAAACACTTGATGTATGTAATGTAAATGATTCGTGTGAACACTCGTGTATTTTCAAAGTAGCCGAATTTATTCTATTCTATTTATCTTTGAACATTCTTTTTCATCATATTCGAATATAATTTCTGAATTTCAGTAATGCCAAGCGTAAGTTGGAGTTTATAGTAATTGAAAAAAATTTTTAATGTTTTAGCCGCCGAAGCAGCAGGCACGATCTACACGTTATCAACGATATCAACAAGTAGCATCGAAGAAGTGGCTGAAGCAGCGCCAAAAGGAATAAAATGGTTTCAACTCTACATATATAAAGATCGTAATGTTACTTCAAATTTAATCAAACGAGCAGAACGTGCCGGCTTCAAAGCACTCGTCCTTACCATCGATGCACCGATGTTTGGCGATAGGCGAGCCGATTTTAGAAACAAATTTGTACTTCCAAGTCATCTGAGGTATTCTTTCCATAGTTGAAACAATATACAATTTTCCTCGAATAAAGTACATTATTTGAATATTTTCAGATTAAAAAATTTTGATGGAGAATTGTCAAATAAAGTAAATTCTGCGCAGGATGGCTCTGGGTTGAACGAGTATGTTACAAATATGTTCGATGCCTCTTTATCGTGGGAGGATGTCAAATGGGTTAAGAGGTTGGAAGGAAATATTATGGTTTATAATCGCGAGCCTTCAAAACGAATCCTCATTTTATTTTACAATCTTTTGTAGTATTACAAAGTTGCCAATCGTTTTAAAAGGAATTCTAACACCGGAAGATGCACTTTTAGCTATCGAAAGTGGAGTAGACGCAATTGTTGTTTCAAATCACGGCGCCCGACAAGTCGATGGTATTCCGGCATCGGTTTGTTACTCTTATTTGAAAATAAAACTTTGATGTGTGTTAAACATGGGTAATGGAAACAACGTATGATTGCTAGATCGAAGCGTTGCCAGAAATAGTCAAAGCAGTGAACAGGAAAATAGAAGTTTACATGGATGGAGGTATCAGGCAAGGAATCGATGTATTTAAGGCGCTCGCTCTGGGTGCAAAAATGGTAAGCGAATTAGGACAAATACAGTTACAAAATTCAAATCCATTACATTCTTCGATTCATTTTTATTTCTTTTGCTTCAGGTATTCATTGGTAGACCTATATTGTGGGGTTTATCTCATTCGGGGGAAAAAGGTGCGAGGCACATTCTAGAAATTTTTAGAAAAGAAATAGATTTGGCATTTGCATTGACAGGTAAGTTCAATCGAGTAGTTTGCAAACTTTATATTTCCATTATATAGATACAATAATTTGGTAAAACATATCAATCAATTTGCAGGCTGTAGATCGGTTAAAGATGTGACGCAGGATATGGTGAAGCATGAATCTTACTACAGTAGGCTGTAATAAAAGAATGTAATATTAACGAAATTTAATCATAATAAAATAGATCGAAAAGTAATGGTCGTTTCAAAATCATTTTATAAAAAGTAAACAATCTATGTAAACAACTCATTTATATATCTTCTTATTAATTGTATATATATATTATAAATAAAAAAACAAATAGGCTATCCTTGTCGCACCATTATTATTGAAAAAAAATCACCACATTATTAAAAAAGTCATTTATAATTCTTCGTTTTTGTAATAACAAGTGAATATATAAAGGATAGACCTATGCGCGTGAGTGCGAGAGAGAACGCAACGGTGTACGACAAAGATAGATAATTCGAAAATCGCGGCAATCGCTCGACTCGCCATCTCGCGGCCGGCCAACGCCCCGAAACTCAACTGACAATGAGTGCGTGTGAGAGAGAGAACGCAACGGTGTGCGACAAGGATAGATAATTCGAAAATCGCGGCAAACGCTCGACTCGCCATCTCGCGGCCAACATCCCGAAGCTCAACTGAGTGAGTGTGAGAGAGAACGCAACGGCGTGCGACAAAGATAGATCTATTCGCACACTGTTGCGTTCTCTCTCTCACACTCACTCAGTTGAGCTTCGGGGTGTTGGCCGCGAGATGGCGAGTCGAGCGTTTGCCGCGATTTTCGAATTATCTATCCTTGTCGCACACCGTTGCGTTCTCTCTCTCTCACACTCACTCATTGTCAGTTGAGTTACGGGGCGTTGGCCGGCCGCGAGATGGCGAGTCGAGCGTTTGCCGCGATTTTCGATTTATCTATCTTTGTCGTACACCGTTGCGTTCCCTCTCGCACTCACGCGCATAGGTCTATCCTTTATATATGTATAAATTTAAATTTGAATTCAGTCCTATAATCAACAGAAATTATTCCTTCTAACGTTGCTTTATATGCTTAATTATACTATCTTTTTAAAGTATTTTAGAAAGTCTAACAGCATTCTAACAGCAAAAATAAATGGAATTGCTGTAACTGTGCCCCGTTTTGTTTTTTCAGAAATTTCTATGCTGCGTATGACGAGTAAACATTCAACAATAATATTGAACTACGCTAATGCACATACTTCACACTGCAAGTGTCTTCTGCATTACAATTAATAACAGAGATTCATTAACAGGTAACCAAACAATCTGTCTATGATGACAGTTCGAATACGAGTGACAATTATCCATCAAAAAGTTTACGATACATGGGCCTGGTAAATGCTGTTTATAATTGGGGAACTGTAAAAGCACTATACTTTGCTGTTTTCTCGATGAACCTGGCTGGCGTCGTCGCGGTCGCGACGACCATCGTCTGGGCAGCGAGATTTCAGAGAGGCTTCGGAGATTACCTGAACCTTGTCTCCTCAGGTTCGTTCTATATCTAGCTACTGCCTTTTTAAAACTCTTCTCGTTGAAAAACTGATGTAAAATAATTCTAAAAAATAACTCTCTTCGTTCGTATACATACAACTATTATTTTATACATTTTATAATTCACATTCGCGTCTCTATCCGAAGCTCATCTCTAAACTCGAATCAGATCTTGAAGTCTCAATTTAAATTGAACATTCAACACTTTCAACGTATCGTTGTCGATTGTATGTATGGGTTAACGAGCAGATCACGACGAGCAGGTGACGGTCATGTTTGGACCACGGTGATCATCTCGTCTGCTGTTCTCTGCTCTCCTGCCTACGTCCTGGGTGCTAAGTCCTGGTTGTACCTGAAATTTGAGTCCTCGAGAAACGAGCTGGAAGACCAACAGGAAGTGGAAGCTGGCGCGGATCCTCGCGACTCGAATCGTCTTCTTTTCTTTCACGTTATCGCCTGCCTGGTCTCTGGATTTTTGGTGGCACTTTTGAATGCAACCTACTTGGCCCTGTTGAGTGGTTTTCAACAGAAGAGCCGCGAGGGCATGATCGAGGCAATGGAAAGGTATAGCAGCGACGTTACAGCGAAGGCACGAGTCGACGCTGTTCAAACAGAGTTTGAGTGCTGTGGGGACAACAGCTACGAAGACTGGTTTCACGTACCATGGCTGAAACCATCGATGGAGGAGTCAGAGTTCAAGAACAAGGGTCCTCGACTGGAAGGGCAGTGGGTATAATGGAACCAAGTGCTGTTTGATCGTAAATTTCTTCCTGTGGTTTATTTTCTTGTAACTGTGGTCAGTGGTGGATACAATGATCCTCGGTACGAGTATAAAATATCAAATTATTTTTAACACAATAATTAGACAGAGAAAAGAAGAAAGAGACCTGTATCACCACTGACCTACTATTCCTTTGCCTCAGATATCATTTACTATTAACGCAGTATACTCTTACTTGGATTTGAACAAGATAGGGTTTCAAAGATCATCTGTACTTCTTCTCTCTTAATACAGTGGTTGCCTCTTATGTACTTGTACCATTTGATTGCGCGTTAAAGACCAGTGCAAGAAGATGGAGAGGAAGAGTCCTCGACTCCGATAGACGTTCCTTTTTCCTGTTGCGCCAACGACATTCCCAAACCCTGCGTTCACTATGACATTCTAAACCGCAATGCAGCATACGATTACAATCCCAAGCACCTGACTATCTCCACCCGTGGCTGTCGATCAGGGATTGTAAGTCGAGGCAGGACTGTTAGAATATTCCTCGCAGGGTATCTGGCTCTTTTATCAGTCTATCAAGTAATTATCGAAATTAATTAATTAACTCTCGAAACGCAGAAAGCATATTCAAAGGGTCCTCTGGTTTTCAGGTAATCTTGTCCCTCCTGGCTCGTTTGCTGCAGACTGCTCATGCCAACGAATTATTCATAAGTCCTAGAAAGACTCGTTACCATGTCTGGATCTTTTATAAACCAGAAGAAATATTCAATGTATCTCTGACACAACCAAAAGCAAGCAAACAATCTCGACGGAGAAAACGACGATCGACTCGAAAGTCACGTCCACCATCTTCCTCTTCCACTTTAGAAACTTTTCACGAAAAAAGAGAAACAATTTCTAGTAAACGTCACAAGATGATTAAGAGTACCAGCGCGAAAGTGTTGAATAAGATACGCTCGAAAATCCATTCTGCTAAATCGAAGAGCTATCCTCTCGTCAGATCTTCTTTGTGGACGACCAAGCGGAGTACGAAGAGGCGTGCTTATCAATCGGAAGACGAAGACGAGAAAGACGAGGAAGACGAGGAGTCGGAGCAAACTGCAACCAAGAGACTTCTCTCGAGCCAATGGATGAGGTCTGCAATCGTCCTGAAGCCAGATGGCGAGTCGAATCCCTTTCTACAGGATAATACCTTGATCATAGACTTACCACCTCCTCCACCACTTCCTCCGTTCGTAGCAAACCTCGAGGTGGAAGATGAAAAGAACAGGCCTCCTCGTGACGTATCGCCACGACGGTCCAGAGCAAAGATTAACGCTGATACCAACTCCAAGCAAAAAACAATCCACAATCAGAACTCTGGTAGGCGCATAAAGGTCCTGGAGAAGTTTGACAAGATCTGGGAGTCCCACGACCGCGCCACGCAGCACAGAGAAAGCGGTGGAGCGGATGACTCCAGCAGCGAGCACTCCTCGAACCGTTCCAGAAGACTATTGAGCACAACAGACGTCTACGACAGATTTCGTGGCACTCTTCAGCACACCCTCGCCAGGAGAGAAACTGTTCAAGCTCGAAGAGCATCGAAGAGGATCCACAGCCCTAGAGTCTGGCCCAACCTGGACACGAGACGCAACAATCTTCTGGCGAGGCTTGGATCCAAGAACGTTCCACCTTCTTATCGTCTGCTCGCCAACGTCGAGGATCAGAGGCGATCAGTCTTGCAGACGCAGCCAATCCCTCTACCTCCTCCTCTACCTCCTCCGTCGACGCGAAACACTCTCGCGTTTCCTCATCGTGACAGACAATGCAGTATTTGTCATCGTCCTGTTCAGCAAAGTCTATCCTTGTCTCGATGCGAGGACACTCGAGCATTTTCCACTCCGTGTCCAAGAAGAATGCCACTCAACGTCTTCACAGAGGGCAGGAAGGGATCAGCAGAAGATTACGAAGCTTGGAATCGATCCACTTTCGCCTTTGAATCTGTCCAACGTCGGTGACTCGAGTCTCTTCCACCAAATGTTCTCCAGAAAAGATTCGTATAGGTGTAAAAATGTAAATACAAGTAGAGAATGCTTGCTCAGAGTATACGCGCTTTAACAAAATGAAACAATGGCGTGTTCCACGCTAGTTGAACGCAGATCGTACAATACTTGATGGTTTATTTGCCGAGAAGTAAAATACACAGGCATTTGTTACAATGGTACTGCCGAAGAATACTTCTTATGTCTCTGTAATACATCTAGCGACAATACATCGATACTAAAAAGAGAGAAGCTGATATATTTCGTTCGATCAATGTTTTCCGGTTTACCAGATACTTTACAATTTTTGTTCGCGTACCAACTCTATCTCTCTCTCTCTCCGCGACTCCTTGACTCTGTTTCCGCCTCGAGTAACTAGAAGGCGACCGGGGGGCGGAATTGTACAACTTTTGCGGTGAATTTTCTCGCCCCTCGTCGTTTGCACCTTGCACTTCTGCACGGTGGTCCCAATTGTGTTATAATCCTCGCGATCGTGCTCTATTTATCGCGAACAATGTTGCACGTTGTTTATTTTGGAAGGCATGTGACCTGCTCTTCCATGATTCAAGAGAAGTTGCACGCTACCAAGTCGACCTTTGACTCTCTCGATGTCAGGATTCGAACTATACGATACACACTGCGCGTTGAGCTTCGAGTTAAAAGTATCCACCCACTATGCATAACACATTGGACGTGGTTAATCAATTTTAAAGTTTGGATAAGTAATTATAAGTTAAACGAATGTAATCAGGAAATTGTACTCTATCCAGAAACAGTTTAAATAATCTGATACTCGTTTCTAGCTTGTTTGGTTCTTTAACACATTGTCTGCCAAACTCGTGAATATTTCTACGAGATTGAAAAACCAACACAATTAACAGATTCCTTAAATAGGTTCCTGGTCTGTAAGCTATTCAAATATATTATATGTACATACATAGTAGGAGCATATTTTTGCGAATAACAATATTAGCGCACCGCTACTAGGCGGTCATCGCACGGCGCTGTACCGATGGACCGAACTAGGAAGTTAAATTACTGAATATCACAAAAACGCGCCAATAAAGGAACCTCGAAATCGTGGTATGCAATTTCTCCTGATCCTCGAGCAATTTTTCTACCTTATCTGGCCGCCTGCCTTCCCGACAGACCGCTCAAGTTAATTACTCGTCCTAATAACACTTACCGTTCACACGTTCTCTCATTCACGCACACTGTGGACCTTTTCCTTTCTTCGTGGCTACTCCTTCTATCGACCTACGTGTCCTCTACGCGTCTAGCTAGATACTTTGAATCTGCGTGGCTATACAATTTGTGAATAGGTATTTAAAATTACGCGTACCACATAGACCTCTTATAGGTGCCATATGAGTTACCCGTTCAAGATACAAGGAATACCTATCTAAAATAAGTACATAATATACAGAGTGTCTTGGTAGAAACAAGCTGCTTCGATGTCTTCGTTATTGCGAGCAACAGAGGAGTTGCTAGGAAGAGTTGTATGGATTCATCGAGTGGACTTTAGGTTGGGTCGTTTTAAACGTAAAGCAGAATTCGATAGCGTAATAAAGTCTGAGTATACACGTGTTAAGGTACGTTTATCTAGAAACTAACATTTAAGGGATTGAAATTATACAACCTTTGCTGAGGAACCTATTGTTTTGTTTACCGCTTAAAATAACGAAGATGTCGAAAAGGTTTGTTTCTAGTGGAACACCCTGTACATAAGTATAATCCACGAGAAGGCGGTGATAAATAGTAACGACGAAGTAACAATACAATATTGCTCGATCCCGTATCATATAATATATAATATTTATAATAATAGTAATAATAATATAACGATATTATTCGCACGCGAATAAAATGGCCTTTTCTCGCACCCAACTCTCTCTTCACCCTATTCTCTCTGTCTAAAGAGCTACTTAAGAAAGGGTCTCACCGCGCTCGTCCCATACATATATGCATGCGTATATATATATATGTATAATACATGTGTAACTTTTGTATTTATATATTTATATCTATTTATAATCGTTTGTATATCTCTTCATTTAACGAAGTGGATAATTACGATAGGCCTAACGGTCTCGAGTCGCAATCATGTCACACACTCTTTCTTCCACTCTCGCATTCTTACACTCACCATTTACTCGCGTTGCGTTTCGCGCAACTCTGTCTCTCTCTCTCTCTCTCTCTTTTATTCCTTTTAGTACGTTCGTCCGGCGAAGCGTCCAAGGATAACAAGCCCCTCTCTCTCTCTCTCTCTCTCTCTCTTTCTCCTTGTTTCGCGTACACCGTTGCCTCGAGAAAGAAAAGCAAATCGAACAAGCGAAATCGAAAGGTGCTACGCGTAATTCTTGTTCTTTTGTGCTCGGCTCTTAGACACTGCGCGCGCGACTCGAGTGCGGTACCCCTTGCGATAGTTACGGAGTAAGTTCGGAAAAAGTTTACACGGATACCTGGGTGTTTCGTTAGCTCCGTTGCAAAGAGTTTTCGCTAATTCGTGACCGCTCAAGGTCATCGTACGTCAGCCATCATCGTATCTCATCCCCTTTTGAACGCAAATTATACTGTTTCTTCTATCTCATGTATCTTTGAATTTTATATCTCCTTCGTTAAGTTCCTGCTTTCGTTCCGAACTCAGTGAACGTTCTGTAAAAGTCGCGTTTATTGAATGTTACGACACAAGTTCTATGTACAAATCAAGCGAAAGAAAGTATATCGCGGGAAGCTCGATTGTTAAAGTAAAAGCACAGGCATTTATCTCTTCATTTTATTTTTAAGATAATAGCGAATATGGAAAAAAATACGACGCTTTTGCGATACAGTCAAGTTGGGAGGGGTTGTTGACAAGTGACTTTGAGCGGTCAAAATATTCTGCCTCGACTCGAGAGTACATAGGAGAAACAAAATGCCAGGTGCATTTTGCAACCGATATCACAATTGAATAAATCTTTTCATGTAACTCGAAGGCCTCTTACTATCGTAACGTTAGCTAACAAAAAGACTTGTTGGTTTGCAACAAGACATAGTGAAACACCCTGCATACGAATATGTATGCATGTGTATATATATATATATATATATGTATATGTGTATCGAAATCATGCTTATCAATAATATATTAAACACGGTACACACGTATCCGTTCTCTGTCTACAAAAAGAAAATCAGCGCTTTAAAATTTCTTTATACTTTTCTTACTCTCGCTCCCCTTCATTGTTATAAACTAATTTTGATGCTACGAGGGATGGGGGATCAACGTCAGCGCTGACAGCATCTATGCATTCTCTTAAAGCTACAGAGGTAAGTGTAAAGATGCGAATACTGTTAAGGCTGACAGCTGTTTCGAGAAACATCCCTTGTCTGCGGTGTTGCGTACGGTTCACGTTATCCGCATCGCTCCTCGTTAATTACAAATTAGTCCTTACTCGTCTATTAAAGTTGCAAGTCTAGAACGAAACGTTCGACTTGAAACGATTCGTTAACAGGGCAACGCAAAAACATTGGAAAGGGATGAAAAATCGACGATGCGGATACAACGTGGAACACGAAACGGAAATGAAAATCTCTTCGTCGCCGCGGTGGCATTCGATTGATTCCCGTTCGTTCAAATACAAAGTAGAGGTACTTCGCTTCGTGTAAATACAATAATGTACAATCTTCGTTTTATCATCAACGTTATCATCATCGTAAATCTTGTATCGTTCGTTTATTTTTCATTTTTTTTTTTTCTTATTTGGAGTTTAAACCTTACTGTGACCTCGGCGCGTTCAGTGCCGAAAAACGGAATCGATCTACGCTCTACTGTGAGTCGAGAGACAAAAAACGAAAAAAATTCTCTATACATTTAACGCATTCTCTCGCAGCGACGTCTTCGTTGCTCCGGTTTATCGAATCCTCTTCTCCGCTCGTCCACGCCTCCATTCCCATTTTTCCCTTCTCCTTCCTCCACTCTCTGTCACATATTTCTCCACCCATCGAGAGCGACATGCGCTCAACCCTCTTCCGTCCTTCGCCTCGCCTCGTCTCCGTTCGTGGTCTCTTCCGGTTCAGAGGGAAGCGACTGTGTTTGGCGCTCGCAGAGCGAAGGCAAAGGACGACCCAACCTGAGGTCTCGATCTCGAGTCGCATAGTTGGTGGATAAGATGCAATCGTTTGTGAGATATGACACTTGATACTTCTCTTAACGCTACAACTACCAAGCTGATCGATTTAACCCGTGTAGGGTGAATTTATTGGAATAGAGTACTAACTACCCTCTCACATTCTATTTTCAAAGATACAGAGTAATATGCTTCAGAGACACGAGTTGAGCATTGGTAGTTTTATGTTTACATCTTGACTCCTTAGAGGGTCTTCCGAATTCACTGATTCGACTGCATCTGTTCCAAGGACTATGCCATGCCTCGAGATTGCATCTTGCTACGACCTACTATGGCTACCTCGCGATTTACCGCGCGAGCGTCCGTCTACCTATCAATCTACTGTACATGGATACCTTGGTCGTAACACTAATCGTGATAACAAATTACATGGTATGTATTACGTACATGGGGGCTCGCTGTGCGTATGTATCGTTCACGCGTGCACTCCCACACGCTGTGTGATCTATATTTGTGTGTGTGTGTGTGCGTGTGTGTGTGTCAGAGTATGTGTGTACCTTCGTATCCTCCATGTACCTTGTGTCCTCGGTGTACATGTGACGCGTCCGCCTGTGTCCTTGTAATAAATGATCCTCCTGTATCTGCGTATAGTGTATTTACCTCTGTATGAGATTTTCGACGATGCAAAATAACTACAGCGTGTGTCGTGCTCCCGTAAAACCGGTATCATCATCCCCTGTGGCTTCTGTCGGTGGCTGTGGGTAATCTTTAACCCTTAAACAGGCGCACGCTTATTATTCAAAAAACTGCCTTCGTCGTCTAGGTTGTCTAAGAGAATCTATCCTTCTATGTTTGTGTTTGTTATTATTTTTTGGTTCGCTTAATTTCCACCGTCGCGATTTAGAAACATTTTTTTTTTATCTTTTAGACGAATCGTCGAGAGTGTAAACGCTATTACGAGAGGAAGAACTTGGATAAACGTGCAATTAAGACAAAATTCGTTTAAACTTTACATTATTATTTACTTTCTCTCTCTTACAATTTACGACGTAGCTCGTCCCTTAGAAAACACTATCTGCTCTCGTTGGATTGACCTGGACGCCGCGTCAGCGTCTTTCGAAAGTAGAACTTGATAATAAATTAACGTGTATTTTTTTTTTTTTTTTTGCTTTAGATATTTCCGATAATCTAAGAAATTCTATTAAGTATAACACTTGCCCTCTTAAGGGTTAAAGATGGTTAAGGAATGTCTGAGCGGGCTCGTAAAAGACAGCTCGAACGACGAAAGAAGAAGGATTTATGTCGTAAACGAACGTAATCGCGACAATAACCGTGAATGTTTGAGAATGACTTGAATGGCATTGCGTTCGAATAGAATTTGCGTATCTTTTTTTCCAAAACAAAAAGTACAGAAAATTGATGCAATTTAGCGTTCCTCTGCGACGTCTAATTGAAAAGAAAGGAAAAACACGCGAGCAATAACGATTGAATTCCTTTTGTTCGCGGACTCGTCTGTTCTATCGTTACTCCAGATACGAATATAAACAGCAATAAATAAACCGTGTGAACGCACGATCCCGAGAAACGAGTAACTGAAAGTAACAGAGCGTGTCGGTGATTGTTGTTACTAGTATTTTTTTTTTATTGTTGACACTGGTGTTGTTTTACTGTAGCTGTTGTTGTTGTTGTTGTTGTTGTTGTTGTTGTTATCGGTAGTGACTGTGGTAGTGACAGTGGTGATGATTAGTATTGGTGCTGTTGGTGGCCGACGGGGTGCAGGTGGTCGAGAGTGGCCTTACTTGAGTAGTTGATGGGCTCGCTCGTTGGCCACCTTTATCCTCGTCTCGTTCGATTCGCCCTGCGTGGCAAAAAAAGAAACAAACGAAAGATCGTAACCCAACACACAGCCGTGTATCAAGATCGCGTTATATCGTCGATCTCGTTACTTCGATTAGTCCCGCGCTCTTCTCGCTCGAGCGTCGTCGTCGTCGTTCCTTCCAATCTCTCCTTCCTCGAGAAATGGGGAGAGAATAAAAGGAACGGTAACTCGACGACGACTATGATCCTACAGGATTTTATCCAACAAATGACAGTCCAAAGGTTTAAATGTAATTGTCATCGTACGCGTTGGCATGGTACGTCTCTCGAAAGCCTGGAATTGTTCAGGGTTTTCTAAGTCGCTGCCATTTTGGCAGGTGGATCGAGTTGGAGACGCGAGTTGGGTTAGCGAGTTGACGATGTCCGACCGACGACGAGAAGGCAGAAGAAAGGGCGTGGGGCGTGATACGCATACATGATGTACGGCCACGCTATTGTCACAGCGTGTACGTGTATATGAGTGTATGCGGCGTATGTATTTTGACTATTTGGGGCTCGAAGGAGACGGGTACTTGGGCAGAGAGACGCATTTTACTTGAGCAGGTCGTGCGCACGCTGATTCGCCACGGCTATCCTCGTTTCGTTTGACTCGCCCTGCGGATTATCATAGTATGGATTTGGTCATAGGTGGCACAGAAAGAGAATCTTCAAATCGAACGTAAAGGCAAGAAACAACAGTGAAAAGGGGTTAGACAAAAATTAGGGCGAAGATTGTAAACAAAGGGCGAACAAAGCGTGACACGTTCACACAGTCTCACAAGTATTTGTACACCCTATGCCTGTTAAAGAAACTTGTCTCTAAATTAGATGATAGGTTTGATAATTTCAAATAAATGTTTCATTATGCAAAGTCTATTCGTGTACATATCTATAACGTAACGTTTATTTGGAAACGTCAAGCCTATCATTTAATCTATACAAATTTCTTCACTAAACGTGGGTTAGAATACTTCTGGGCCTGATCGTATACAGTGGTGCAGTTCTTTTACTTCTTATTAATCTTTTTAGTCGTGTTGCTTTTGCCTCCTCTTTCATTTCATTGATCATTTTCGTAATTAATTTGTGATTTGCAGCGTATGGCCGAACACAGAAGACAGCCCGTGACATTGGCGAAAAGAAGAATGACGTTTGGTGCGATGACGAGAGGGATTAAGAGGGCGGCTAGTCGTGCGGTGCACGTGCGTACTTCATGCCAAAATGAAAACGAGACGATCGTCGATCGATCATTCTCCAATTCTCTGCTGTCAGAGCATCAAGTACCGGTCCCTCGACGCGATCGTTCGACGATTGTTTCCTTCTCGATAATAGAACTTCCGTGCCAGTATAAAAATTGTATATATTTATATATGTAGAGAGAACAGAAGTAGAACAAAATATAGAGAACGTTCTATCGAATGCGATCTTCTCGAAAGAGAGTCAATCCCGTCTTAGAAGTCTACTCGCAATGGAACCACATCAGACTTCGGCAGTAATTTCGTTAATTAAAAAAAGTAGTCGTTGGTAGTATTTAAATAGAAATACTCCAAGACGTATGAGAAATAAAACAAAGAATTTATTCTACTTTTTAATTCACTGCACAGGAAAATTTATGGAAATCGCGTGGTTCCCTTGCAAACAGGGGTAGTAACTTTAAAAAGGGCGGTGGGAGGGAGGGAGGGAGGGAGGGGACACGATGCTACGAAGAAGAACGCGTGTACGTTCGATAAGGTGCCCATCGTCGGCGGCCAGAAATCTCGCGATCAGACATTTATCGCGCAAGCGAAAGCTGGCAAACTGCTTCTCGTGTAAAGCGTAACGTCCTTCTTGTTACCTTTGGTTTAGATCTGCCGTGCGCCAGCTTTTCATTAACGAAAGTATAATGGTGGTCCTAGTGGCGTGGACAAAGTGCAACTCTCCGAAGAGGAAACTTCGAACCATGTGGGGTTCATTTTCGACAGAAAACGAGGAACGAGGATCGTTTTGGGAGGAAGGATAATCGAGGGGCGCGCAGAGTGTTCCTAAAGTATGTGGTCGAACTTTAGAAATATATTCCACTCGTCGTAATGATAAGAAAATCTTCCCATAGCCTTGAATCCCTGTCCAAGAGGCGCTGGGCACAGATCAGGACCGTGCCTCTTCGACGATGACGAACCTCAAACAGAACTGTTCTTATGTTTCTAAGCTTCAACGCTTCCTGCGTGTTCTCATTTCATTTTTGTACGTTATTACAATGAATAGAATACACCTCTAACGTTCAGCCACTTATTTCAGAAACACTCTGTACAAGAAAGCGAAAGCGACGACGAACGTGTGTTGTGCATCGCTCTGAGCGCGTGCATCGTGAGATAAAAAACCACGCATGCTCCGTGAAGAGAAAAAAAATAGATAGCGGAGCTAATCGTACGTAATGGTAATCGTCATTTCCAAAAAACTTTTTTCGACGCGTTCAGACCTTGCTCTTTCCAGGCTCGTTAATGCGCGATCGATACGTCAACGGTATCTGTTAACTGGATCGTTTCCTAACTAGAAACGCCCCCTTCTATGTACGTACAATTAACGACGTACAAAACGCACAAACTTTTGGTTCATCCTAATATAATAGCTATCCTAAAGTGCTGTTTCTGTTATTTTACAGTTGCATCCCTTTTGTTATAACACATTTCTGGGTGTACGCAGAACAAAGTAAACAACAGAATATTTCTCACAATACAAGAGCGATAATTAAGCTTGTACGACCCAACAACAGTTGACAGTTTGAGGTACGGAGACGGATCGAGCAAGCTCCGAATGTATAGCAACCCAGTGATTCCTCCTGTGATCGCGTCGAGCAAGGACGCGCGACTCGTTTCCTCACCTTGCGATTGATCCTGTCGATCTGCCGATTCTGATTCTCCAGCTCGCTGCCCATGTCGATGGCCATGTTTCTCAGATTGCTGATCATCGTGTTCACCTGGCCCATATTCTCCTCCATCTCGTTCTCGCGCGCGTCGTTCGTGATCTTGGCGATGTACCCGCTCTGCGGTCCCAGCCCGTTGCGATCGTCCATCACTCGTTGCGGCTGGTTGTTCACCACCTTACCGTCATCGTTGCCCTTCCACGTTCCCTCGTCTTCCTTGAAGCTGGCGCTCCTGTGGAAAACATCGATATACCATTAGAGATACCGTCGCGAATTACGCTTCGAGCAAGTACACTGAACTGTCTTCGAGGTGGCGATACGCGAGTGAAGATCACGGTAGACTGATTGTAAGAGAAATAGTAAGAGATGACGTGAACCTTTTGCGGAGATATGGGACTGAACGGAAGGTTCGTGCTAGGCGGAGACTAGTGGGGCTTGTATGGGCTTGGTAGCAAAGACACAGAGAAGAATTGTTCAACTTGGTACATTTTACAGAAAATTTTAGATCCGATCCGCAAAAGGTTAACAATATATAGAAGAAACTCCTATCGTCGTTTAATCCTTTAGGGCTACGACATCCTCCGTCCCTTCTCTGATCTCTGGTGCTTCAACTGAACAAGATACAAATTTCATTTTCAAGCCGTTACATCCTCCATCGTAGAAAGCTTTGCGACCGAACGACCTCGTGGCCCCGAAGGATTAACGACGGATTCAAGAGACCTCGCTGGAGGGCGTCGAGGTTAGCGGTTCGTGTTTCAAGTGAAAGCTGTTCGAAAGAGAGTGTGCTGTAAATGCAAAAAGGCTCGATTTCAGACAGTGAAAACATTAAAGCGATTCGGGACAGTCCTACTTGTTGCACGGAAGAACGCAGAGGCCGCAGCACTTTTCCATTCCAGTGAGATTTTTCTCGGCCTCCCTCATGTCGGCGTTGATCTGGTCCATACCCTCCTCGATTCTGTCCAGTTGCTCTGTTTCATCGTACGAGAAGAACACGTTAAAGCTGTCGTTCCTCGACAAGTATTCGCCGTAGAGGCTCGAAAGAGAATGGACTATCGGCTCAAAAATAGGTTTCGGAGGATCGTTGCGTACTACAGAGTGGCTTGTATTCGAGTGGAAAGCTTTACTTTGTGATAAGAGGAGGGAAGAACGAAAAATACTATTCGATTCTCTTTCGAAGCCTTCGAAAACCCTTTGAAAAAGTGGCCTGGATCACCATTGCTGGAATGCTCGAGGAACAAAGCACTTTATGCAATTATCTGGATTTCTTTTTAATTACACAATTATAGACTGGATTCGACAAGTGCCGAGACACGGGGCTCTGTTCCTTGATCCCAGGTGGCGACCCAGGGGCTTTGTAGTCTACGAGGAGTCGTCGAGAGAATCGCCGTTATTAAGCTAAATTATCCAAAGGCCCAATGGCACGAGATCAATCAAGACAAGATCAAGAAATCGAAAATTAAATTCAGCGATGTCTCTCGTCCTTTCTCGGTGTCATTACAAAAAAAAAAAAAAAAAAAAAAAAAGTGCAACGAAAGTGCAACAATTAAGCAAGAGTCTCCCTACTAAGGGTTCCTAAGTTCGGGTGAGTAGCTTTGTATGTACTGGGGGTGTAACGGTGGGTATAATCTAAAAGTAAACTGGGTATCGAACCAAGTATATACTCAACGAGTAAGAGTAAACGCGTTATGTCGATGCTAATTGCATACTGTGCGCGGTAAACGCAGGTATAAAAAGAAAAAAAAAAGTAAGTAGAGTTGCAAGTAGGTGGGTACTGACTTACACCGTGCCGGAAGTAAACGGAGAGAGGCGTTTATAAACGGTGATGCGCGCGTGTCGTGCTACCCGATACATCTGTATTATTTTTCAAGTACATTCATTGCATTTCTTTCTCTGTTTTCTTGTCGTCTACTTGTTTTACTTGTATATCTGTTTTTACTTTTTTTTTTTTCTCTCTGTTTTTGTTCGTTCGCCTTCGTGAGATTACGTTCACGTAAGGAAACGGAGTAAGAATATAGGAGGAAGCAGACGGAGAACGATAGGACGCAGAAAGAGAGAAGAGAGTCAGAGAAACAGAGCGAGATAGGCAGAAGTGTATCGAGTCAGAGTGAGATCAAGTAAGAAGTAGGCAGAGGCAGAGAGATAGATTAGAAGAAACAGAGGAGACAGGTGCCGATAGAGGAGAAGTGAGCAAAGCGAGAGTATCGATGATCAAAAAATCAAAGGAAGAACCAAGTCGGAGGGGAAATAGTGAATGCAAGAGAAGGGAATGGTCGATACACGTATCGTGTGGGAGGGAGGGAGAGGGTGTGTGTGTGTGTGTGTATGTGTGTCAGTACAAGATGCAAGGGAACGTAAACGATCTGAAAGCTGAAGGTGGTGAGAAGATGTCGGTGGAAACGAATCCCGTGGTCGTTTTGGTGCTTTTTACATTTGGTTAGTATCGGCTGACGAGTTGTCTCGATTGGAAACTAATAACTCGACGGAAACGAGGTTTCATCGGTGTCTGGACGATATTTCCACGCAATTAGTGTCGTGTACGGGTTATGCGCGATATCTGTACGTATAAAGATGACTATAATATACGTATAGGTATCGTACGTCGACGGGTGGGTGGTATAAGAATACACGAGAATACACAGAATTCGTCGATCGTGGCTTTTGTGTCGGTCGAGATCGAATCAGGTGTGCGTGTATACGTACACATACATATGTACACAAGGATGTGTACGTTAGAGCGGTCCTTAGTTACGCGTGGTAGCGATTCTTCTTAGGAATTCTTTTGATCGAGGTGGTTTCAATCCGCGAGCAAGTAATTGCATCGATACATGGACTGGCTTAAGGCATTGCGGTAAAACTGAAATTGTGTATGCAATAGGGCCTCGATCGTGATACCAAATCCACTACTAATCGAGACTCTACTGCTCCAAACTTACCCATTAAGCTATTATAATTTGCTGTTAATCTAACATCTTTAAAAAGAATCGGAATTTAAATCGGATGCGACCTGTTGTAACTTTTGCAACAAGGGATCACAGAAAATCGATTATATACGTAGATAATAGAGCAAGGACCACAACCTAACGCACACATGCGTGTATATATGCACACACACATACACGCGTACATACACGCAAACACGAGTACCTTTGTGAAAAGATCGCGATTTCTTTACGTTTGATAAGGTTTAATGTTTGTATGTCTAGATTTGAAATGGCTTACCGCCTTGCTCGTCCAGCATTACGAGGGTTTTCATCCCGACCTCGTGGCTCTAAACAGGCAACCGACCAATCAGCGGCTGTGTTAACACACACGTGAGGATACAGGAAGCACCGTCGAAACGCTCCCTCGCTTCGCTCCGCAAACATTTCTTTCAATGGCCTTTTTTTTATTACACGTTAAACCACCGAAGAATCAGACCGAAAGGGTCTAAAATCTAGAAAGAGAGAGAGAGAGAGAGAGAGAGATGGGGTCGATCTACCTCCTCCGTCTCTCTTTCTCTTCTGATTTCTGATCTCTCGAGAACGAGGGAAGTCGAGGAAACGCGCGCTACTCGAGAAGAACACGGATCGGAGGAGCGAGAGGGCGCGTACAACGACGACATTTCATCCTGATTCATTAATTCTACTGTGGATCAGGCTTTGCTGGAAGACCAGGATATCTTTACACTCGTGAGGCAAAGTTAGATGCAGACGTACGGAGGACTCTGCGATGGAACAGTTGGATTTACCAACTAGAAAACCGAGACACTTCCTAGGAATCGAAGCAACGCTAACGACGAACATTAAATCAGCCATGACCGAGGAAAACTCGAGGTTACAACGCGAAAAACAGGCGTCGCGTGGTCCAGGCCGCTCCTCTGCTTCGTTCGCGAGGAAGAGTAATCGAAAAGCACGCGTGAAAACTAAACGCCACCGAGGGAAACGCGAGTCAAGTAAGTTGAAACGATCGACGAAGCGAAGAAGCGACGATCCTGAATTTTGAACGAGTCGAGGAGGGTTGGTAAATCCAACTTTCCCAAATTGGGAGAAGAACACTTCCGTAGGGGAGGGAGATCAATTGATTTTTGGCACGTCGATCTGTGAAATTTCCAAGATCAAATAAGATTAGAGACAGTTAAACAATAACGTAGCAGCAACTACACGGAAACGTGGTTGGACGCTCTAACATTATCGGTTATCTCGTGGGTGACGGTCTTGAGAAGGGATGAGTCTCGTCGAGGCTGGTGATCGAGCCGATCGAAGCTTTTCGGGGAGGATGAACGCACGGATTTATGAGGGAGAAGACGATGCTGGATTTAATCGGATGAACCGAATCGAGTTAGTGGCAAAGTGGCGCGGTGGCGATGATGCGAGAAGTCTGGTGTTAAAATAGGAGCAGACAAAGGCAGAAGCAGATTAAAAGGAAGAAAAGACACGCTTCGTATATATATATATATATATACACACATATATATATATATATATGTATACGAATATATTCTTTTTTTTTCCAGTGTAGGCACTCAGAGTACCGTGGCGCTGTAAGATACAGAATTAGAAAGTTGTTTTAGCTAAAGGACAGAAAAAGAGATCAAGAACCAGAGATAAACGCGTGTACGAGTTGCTAAGAACCGGAGCCATAGATCGTATACGGTGAGTGGACCGAGTATTCTTTACTGGGCGCATCTGTTAGTCTTGGATCGTCGATCTCCTGTTGGGATAAGTATTATACGATCCTCGTTAATACGAATATTTCCATGTGTTGATTAAATATTATGGGAATGGTCAATGGAATCACGAAATCCGATGAATGATAACTGAGACATTCGAAAAAGTTTCATTAATCATCTGACGATGAAACAAGTCGCACAGAACCTCATCTTCTTGACTCCTAAACAGGTTAATTAATATTTTATGTGCAACGTGAGAGTGTTTAATGTCAATGAACTTTACACTTCGATGACATTGCTTCCCCATGCTACTTGATCGATACACTGAATATTCTTATCAACGAGGATCCCGAAACATTTATTCCAAAAGATATCAGCAATCCGAGGTCAGCAGATGAATCGCTACAAATACTACTGTAGCTCACCGTGTAAGTACAGAGTGATTCGTTAGTTTCCCACAAAGAGCAAGGTTCCGTAGCGTCTCGCGCGTGTGAACTGATAGCGGCATCGTTCGGTACCCACTTGCGTTAAGGTGGAGACGTTTTTGCTGCCACGTTTAGAATATAATGTATCTTTGTGGGGAAAGTAACGAATGAATAACTCTGTACACGCTTATGTTAGTCGTAGTGTTTGCTAATCGAGTCGTCAACGTCCGCGAAGGTCTCGATTCGTATCCCCAAAAACGAAACGAGTCGAATTTCACGCGGAGGAACAATCGACCATGTTTCTTGTATTCGAACCACGTACAGCGAAAGTGACTTCGTTCATAATTTATTTCCAAGTTCGTACTTCAATTACGGGGGCGAATTGTAAGGAATGTTCCTTTTACGATTCAGTATACGGTACAAATATTTCAAACAATTCGATTTCTTATTTGTACTCCGAACTTAATGGATCGAGTTCTTTTGCAAACATATTTTATTATTTTTTGAAGTCGTTGTGAGAAGACATTGGATTTAAATCTGTTAAGAAATCTGAAATTTTATTTAACGCGTTCTCATCCCTCAACGTATTCAATTTATTAGTTTATTAGTACATCCTCCAACCTAGCGCATGACGCTTTAAAGTCACAATCGCTGTGCATCGTTGCAATCGAAACTCGCGAATGCCTTCGATCGTTCCATATTATTCCGAACCCTTCAAGTGTGTCCCCCAATGTCGAACAACCCCACGAACCGATTCCAAAAATTTCATTCCTTTAACTCCTTTATCCCTAATTTTGGTTCATATACATATACACACATATTCCTGTACGCATTCTCGATTCGTTCGTCGAAACGAGAGATTGATCTTTTCTTTACTTTATTTTTGTTGTTGTTGTTTTTTTTTTTTTTTTTTTGTTTATTGCTGAGGGAACTGCTTACCGCCTTGATGGTCTAACATCGTCAGAGTGTTCGCTGCGACATCCTCGCTCTACGACAGGGTCGAAGGGCCCACACGTTAACGGAAACGAAAGATCGTTCAGTGATGCGCGTGAACAACTGCGAAATTAAGTCAGAGACAAACAAGCATCCCGCGTGCACGCCTTGCCACAGGAGGGATATCGCAAAGAGTTACTTCGCTTCGGTTTTTTTCTTTTTTTTTTCTGAACGCGTTTATTCGAGAGGAGAGGAATGAGTAATTCGATTCTGTGCGTTAAAAAAGCTACGATGATGAAACGAAAAGGGGTTGCTTGGCCCGTGTACGTCGTCCTCTGCCTCCGTTTCGTTATTAGGAGGCTCTCGCGCGCGGTGCTGCGACATGATTCGGACGGAATCCGCGTCGTGTGACAAAACGTGCCGGATTGTAATCAAACAGAAACTTCGTAATATTCATCTATGAAAGAAACAAAATGAATCCACGTTCGAGGTGTACGTCCACCGTCAGGTATTGGAACTCGGAGAATAAAACTGACGCTTTGGTATCTGTCGTTCTTTGAAACTATTTTGGTTGTTTTCCAGACGAACACCTTGAACGCAGAGGTAAGTCGGAACAAAAACGTACGAGAAGTACAGCGATGAAAAAGATATAAATGGAGATGACGCGTAGAACAGAACAATGACGAAGAGACGACGAATGTGAATCTCGTTGACTAGAGCGAAACAAATTGGTGCGAGTTGTTGAACTATTCAGCTACGAGTTTAATACATATATTTATATTCATATATGTTCAAACTGTCCACACACAGCGACACCGAACGTGAACTTCTCTGCTTGCACCATGCGTTGCGCGCTATACTTGAAGAACAAAAATAGATAGAAAAATAAATATGAAAAAATAAGAATAATAAATGATACCGATGCAAGTCTTTGCAGCTTGAGAAAATGTTCCAACTACGGCATCGAGTTAATCAAAAGCCACGGATATATCATCAGAGGGGGGCAGATGGGTGGGGCGGGGTGGGGGGCGGGGAGGAAAGGTGGAATAAATTGTACCGAACAGTCTAACGAGCGGGTGAACCTTTTAACGCTTTCCACTCTTCTTGACTTTCTTTTTTTCTCCTCGCTTCTCTGCGAGGTGATCGGTCTTGGACAATCGAATCGACTAATCGCACTACTATCGCATATATACGTGATATGTACACGACGGTATTGGTAAACTCGCAGATCAAAAAGCGAAAGATAAATACCTACATGGTAAGACGACGGTCGACAAGTACGTTCGATGCAAAACGGGTTAAAGTAAGTAGGATTCAAACACAGAAGAATGTACGTGTACGTGTTCGTGTACGTACACGTGTATGAAGTATGTGTAACGAGTGGTCCCATAATTATTTACACTTTAATTGCTTCGGAAACTGTACCGGTCAAGGGACAGTTCATCGAACGAAAGTTGCAAGAGAAAGGACTGGCAAGGCAGTTTTATATCGGTCGCTCAAGTGTCAGCCACTTGCAGACGAATTTTTCACCCCTTTATCTTGCAACTTTTCATCGATAAACTGCCTTTTACAACAATTAAGGTACCGATAGTTATCGGATCACTCTGTACACACGCTCGCCATGGTCCGACCCGTTTTAATTCACGAATGGAGTCGTCGTGGAAAGCCAGGTCTAGCCGTCATTTTGGACCACTCGGTCTCCTCTTGCATTTCTTTATGAAGTATACAATACCCCAAGGATCTTAAAATTACTGTTGCTACTGATCGAAACTAACGCGAAATAATTCGCAATGCACCCGAGGGATGCAAAGCCTTCCAAAAATAACTAAAATCAGTGGCACGACATTACGTTGCACTGGAAAACAAAAAATCCAATTTTTCTCCATTCCGACTTTCCAGGATAAACACATTCGCATGTTGAAACGGGGCGTCCAATATATAGAGGAAAATAAAAGTTACAACAGAAAGAAATAGACAAACATCTACCGCTAAGACGTTTAACGAGTAGGTACTTTCGTTTCTGGGATTTTACGCTAAATAAAACAGAGGTAGAGGGATCGTACGTACATATACATATATACACATACATAGGTACATACATATATACATATATGTATATATAATACATGTACTTACATCGAATCGATAGATAAAATATGTACGTATTACACGTTGACTGAAAGCGACGCAGCTAAGAAGCTTCATATGTTCGACTACGAAGAAAAGGAGAGAGGAGAAAGAAGAAGAGAACAGAAAAAGTATAAAGGAACGGTTAGTTTGTACACAATCCAGAGAAGAACGTGTTTGAGTGGCAGGTAAGGAGAGAAAAGAAAAGAAATAGTTTGACAAAACACATTACGTTATGCGTCTAATCGAGATGCATATATATATACACACACGAGGATACACGTCTACACACCGAGTAATTGATTTGCTGGTGTGTCAGAGAGGCAGAAATGTCGAGAATAGATAGATAGATAGACAGATAGACGAATGGGAGAAACAGAAGCGCGTAGATAGTTTTTTTTTTTTTTTTTTTTTTTTTTTTGTTGGATGAGAAGGCTGAGAAACAGGGCTCGAGAGGAGGGGGGCGGATTCGTGGGCGTAAAAAAAGGACGAAGAAACAAAACAGGCAGTTCTCGAACGAGTCAATTCGAATTCGCGCACTGGATGACGTGACACACTCTGCACGAAAAAAGAAAAAAAAAATTGAAAAAGAAACTCGACTACAGCACTTTCGGATCTCTCGTATTCGTGTACTGGCAGCAGCAGCAGCGATAGCAGCACCAGCAAGGATAGAGTTAGGTGGTTGCAGTAGTTGATGTCTTTGTCGTGTTAGTAGATAATAGTGATAGTGTCGTTTACGCCTGGGCCATGCAAAAGTTGGAAGAAATCGAGTCGATTTTCGTCAGCCTGGAAAACACTACGGGGCCTGTTCCACCGAACGATAAGAATTTTTGTATATTTTGTCTTTCTGGCTTCCGAAAGAGAATCTTTAAAGGCATTGCTGCAACTTTTGCATCTACCCGCGTCCCGACGAGATTAGTTGTGTTAGTGACGACCCGGCAGAGTCTTAGTAACAGTAGGAGTATAGCAATAGTACAAGTAGTAGTAGTATTTGTATAGTAGGACTGTACAGTGGTAGTTGGCTGTCGTTTTTCTTCGTCAACCGCGAATAATCGCACCGTCTCGTTTAGACATCTCCGCTAATACATACATCTAACCTGTACTTGTGAAGCAAATCTATCGCTACTTCTCGGTTGCAAAGGTTTCAATCGAGCAGGGAGTTGCGTGTGTAATTCCAGTTTCAATTGGTGTGACATAGGAGGATGGGAGGAAACAGAAGTTGTGGTTGGTAGGGTAACTCGAGTGGTAGTTAACAGGAAAAAGAATTAAAAAAAGAGGGGGCGGGGGTGAATGTCGTCGAAAACTGAAGTGACGTTCATCGAGGGCGTGCCATTGCGCTTCACGGTACAACGAAACGCTATTAATAAGTAATGGGTTCCCGCGACCCGTAACGAATGAACCCGTCGACTGGAAAACGGAAAAGGCAAAAAACCGACGCGAGGAGAAATAGTTATAAGTATACACCCTGTGACTGGGATCGATTTAACGATTTCCTCCCGAACCGCGCGCAAACCAGAACTCGATGACTCGACAAATTTTAGGAGAAAAAAGAAACGTGGTCCAAAGACGATAACGAATAAAGAAAGGGGAGAGCAATTAAAAAAAAAAAAAAAAAAAAAAACACGAGGAATCCTCGAATCGACTCGGGTGTTTAAAAATTAACACTGCAATTACCGAGGTCGGAGTAACAATTTATACCTTCTAATTAGAACGAGGGAGAGGCGTGCTAATTTATCAATAAATCCAATTTTGAAGTTTAAAGTACGCGGCTCATATCGACTCGGTAGATTCAGCGTTAAACGGAAACTAATTTCCAAAGTTCCCAAGTATACTCGCCACCAAAAGAAAAACGAGGGAAACAAACCCCTAAAGTGACCTCGTAAAGAAACATAAGATCGCGAGGTTCACCGAGATAACAGCACGAAGGTGTCTATCGATTAGGGGTGGCGTCCTCGAGCACGGATCGAAAGGGGTTGTACCCTCCTCGTACTATGAATCGCTACAGTAAAGGTAGACGTGGAGGGACGGAAGTTCGCGGAGGATGAACGGCGACATCGCCGAGGAAATGATCCGAGCATCGAGGAAAAGACAAATCCGATGGGAAAAAGGGTTGGTTTTCGGATCTGATGGGCGTGGCACGACACGGTCCATTGTACGTGTGCGTGTATGTGTGCGTCGAGGAGTTCGAGGGCTAGAAAAGGCGAAGTTCCTTCCTTTGTTTCGTTTACTTAAATGGCTAAAAAGCGATTCACTCACCTCCCTGGTCATCGAGCGCGACCAGAGTACGGATGCCAGCCTCCTTGCTCTACGACAGACAGAGGCAGCACAACACAGACAACCACCACCAGTGTTAAAGAGTTGTATTTTTTTTTTTTCTTTTTAGTAGTAAGTATATAGTATAGTAATATTAGTAGTATATTAGTAGTATATAGTATTTACGGTATCAGGTAGAGACGGAGGGTGTGCGGAGAGAGAAGTTGGCGAGAGAAGCAAGTTTTTGGAGGAGGTGGGGTGGGGGGGATTGTTGTTTCCCTTTCTCGCAAAACGGTGCTCGATGTAGATACATATATATATATATATATATACATATCGTAACCGAGTCATATTTTGCTCCAGGGTATTTTTTGGGGGTGGAGGTGGGGTGGAGCTTGTACGCGTGATATGCAGCAGTAATGAGTAAGTAAAAGTTGATCTACTTTGGTCATATATACTTTGTTTTTTCTTTTCGTATTTCTCATTGATGCTTCGAGTCTGGATGAGACGCTCTATTTTTTTTTTTTTTTTTTTTTTTTTTAAATATCGAGTTGCAGATATTAGCTTTCGACGCGTACACAACGCAGGCGAAAATTGGATAATGCATATATATATATACGTATAATTGGTGTATATAGATACGTTATCCTGGCCTGCGTTATGAGGCAGAGACAGGTGGGCAGAGACAGGCGGACAAGCAAACGGAAAACGTTTTTCTCACGGATCGACAATAAAGACACGTTGCGTAATAATAACACTAACACATAGATCGGTATTTCTCGGTACGAATGAGTATTATATCTTTATCGATCTCTAGATAACTAGGCTTGTCGCTTGTTGTTGCTGTTGTTGTTCTTGATGTTGTTATCGATCATGACGATGTTGTTGTTGTAGTTGTAGTTGTTGTTGTTCCTGTTGCTCTGTGACTGTCGTCGCCGTTGTTGTAGGTTTTATTTATTTATTTATTTATATTATTCATTTGTCGGATCTTCTCTTCCGGGTTTTAATCGAGATTGATTTCGTTACGAGCGCGCGACGGTTCGCGCCGGATTTCGATTCTTTTCTCTAAGAAGATTTAATATATATATATATATATGTATATATGAAATATATATATATATATATATTTTTTTTAACTTTTGTTTGTTTGTACTCTTATATTTTGTTGTTGTTGTTCTGTTTCGCTAGCGCGTGACGAGTTGAAACCGCTAATTTTACTATTATTTTTTTTTAACTGGGAGGAGAGAACCTCGCGCTCTCTTCTATCGTCGATCGTTCAAACTCTTTGTCTTTCGTACCAACGAACGAGAAGAGCCACCGACGATTCGCACGACGACGAGAACCGAGTTGCAGAAAGTGGGTAGAAGAAGAAGACAGAAAGAGAGTGCTACTCGAAGAGTCTATGAGTCTGAATTAGTCCAAAGAACGTAAAGAGGAGGTTCCGCGGCGCAGTGTACGGTAAAGTATCGCTGAATACAGAAAAAACGGTACAATATACAGTTTCGATGGAGAGAGAGAGAGAGAGAGAGAGGTAAAGTATGCGCAAGTCAATGAAAAAAAAAAAAAAAAAGAAAAAGAAAAAGAAAAGTATATAAAAGATAAATGGAAATGAATCTCGGTCAATTTGAGTCGCGAGAGCAGAATTGTAGAACTTGCAAAATGGAATCGTTAAAATCTTCGTGTCGAGGAGAGACTCCTCGCAGAGATCTCGGGACTCAAACTAACTCGGAGAGAAAGAGAGAATACCTAAATAAATGCAAAGTAGAACACACGCACACATAAGTGGAGGAGGGAAAGCATGAACAGGAGAGGAGAGCATGAACAGAGCGGCGAATGACCGTACGAGAGAACGAAGAAACGGAGAGCTTTTTTTTTTCGACTGGGCAAATACCGTGGAATGAACCCGCTCTCGCAATCGTTGTTCCAGCAAACGATACTTATCTTTGCTACCTCGCGATCGAGACGACCTACCTCGCGAAGAGGCCTCCAAAGCTCTTTGGAGGCTCGCCGTGTTCTCGTTCCATGCAAACGAACATTCTAATCCCAACGAATTTAAAAGGCAAAAAGGAAATATACAATTCGGTACGGAGAAGAGGAAGAGAAAGGCTGAAAAAATTCGAAAGATTGCAAGAGGGAATATATATATATATACAGGAGAGTACCACCGCCATTGTCGAGACTGTACATCATCGCGAAGCCAATTACCGAGGTTTTCTCTAGAACGTGCTGTTCGTTCGTCCGAACCGAGGTCTTTGCTCCTTTCTTCGTTCGCTCTTTTAAAGAGAAGCGTGCGCATCCGTCCGCATTGGGAAATGTGCATGAGATATCCAAGGGAGAAAGAAATCGAAACAAAGGGCCGGTTCAACGAGTATTTACCGCTCGGCTCGACTTATACCCATGTTGGACTGTTTTCGAGCTAGGACGAGCTAAATTTTGTTGGTACAATTAATGTTAGTTTCGATGCACGATTATTTATTTAACGAATAGCGCCTTCTTTCACTCGAGGAACTTTAATACTTTCACTATCGACCCATTATCGTTGCTTGAAACTTTGCTAGAAACTTACACAAAGCTTCGAGTATACGTATAAATTGAATAATATTCGAGATTCAGCGCTGGAGCTACCTAGACGATTCAGATTGCAAAATGCATTATACATCCCACAAACTATTATATAAATTTAGACAGAAAATTTCTCGAGTGAAGAGAGCATTACACATTCCCCAAACTATTATACGTATAAACGTCCTATAACCGAATCTGTTGAACCCTTACGGTACAGTTCCTTCAATTCCCCTAAACAACGCGCAAAGACTCATTCTATATTCAATCAACCCTTCGAATACTATCGACTGTGTCGAGTAAATACTCCATCGAATACCGTGCAACAAAAAATAGTGTTCGAATGTTCGAGATAAAACGAGATAAAAAAAAAACGTAGGATGAAACGTGAAGAATATACACGATGCATTGGCGAGTCTTTGAAGAGCGATGCAGCTCGTCCCCGTGTCGCGATCGGTTATCAAGCGCGAATCTTGAAAACCTTCTGATTCAATCGTGGACCAGCTTCCTCTCTCTTCGAGTACGGATCCCTTGTACGCGGGGGTGTGTTTCTGTGAGTGAGTGAGTGGAATGTTCTGTGCACAGAGAGATCGCGTTTGAGAATGATAGGCGGAAACGTGACAGCACGATGCAGCACTGGAGAGGAGAAGAATGAACAGTGTTCAGGCAAACACACACAGGCAGCCAGGCAGCCAAGGCAGGCAAGCTGTGGAGTTCTCGAGTAAAACCATCGATCTCACAAATCTTTATTAAAATCAGTTTCATATACTAGAAACACCCGGAGGAAACCGGTATTTATTCGCACGAAGAAATTAGGTGCACCAACACCTCGCGTATCTTGAAATCGACCAAACTATACGCGTACGTACACGCCTTAATCGGCCTGCTAATTAAACTTCGCCTCGAGAACCCCATCGGCGAATAGGCGGCAAACTTCCCCCGATAAAAAGTCCACCAATGACGACGTAAACTCGTCCTTTTCGTGTCGACAAACTCGAGACTCGCGAAAGTTGCTATCGTGAATCTAGACACGCGATATATTTTATCGTACTTGTCGTCGATGCAGATTTTACGTTCGGAGAAAATTATGCGAGCAAGCAAACGATCAAGCGGCGTTTGTTTTCGCGTCAAGCAAGGCGGACACACACCGTACACGTGGAAAACACGTACATACACAGTCAGCAACACGGACAATAATATCGAGGAATGCCTGGTTCAGCCAGCAACACGAAATATAAATACAATGGGTAGCAGCGACAGAGGTACGGCGGCCATCGATGCCGCGCGAGCTTAGTTCTCTCGGTTCTTTTTGCGCTCCTTGGTATAGAGAAACGATATCTCGCAGATACCGTTGGTCGTGTACTGTTCATTTACCTGTCTCGGTCAGCCTCTAACGGTGATCGAGCTCTAACGGCTCGACAGACTATCGAGGGGGTGAAAATCGTGGCGTTCTTACCTAAACTTTCTGGCTCGAGACACGAGGCCCTTTCTCCTCGGTTCGATCGATCAATTCGACACCAATTACTTTTCATATACAACATTTCCTTTGAAAGACGAGTTTGAGAATGATTGGTCGAGAAAGAAGTATTCCTTTCAGGGGATTTCCGGTACTCTTGAACGACCAAGTACAGTAAAGTCTCGTTAAACGGACAAGCTCGGGACTGAATCTCGAGCTCGTTTATCGTAGTAGAGCTCGTATATTTTCCGATATTTCCCGACGAGAAGAGTATTTACATTATTACGTATGTATGTCGGCGAGTTGCATTAACATTGTCTCGCCGAGATATCCGATCCCAGATCATGTTACGCATCCAGCAGTGGGGATGGTTTCTGTGCATTTAAAGAGACTTTACTGTATATTGATTTTTAGTTTTTACAAATCCTCCTGAAGAGAAAGGGCGATAAATTTGTCTCGTGGTAACCTTCGAATCGATACTGTCTGGATAATGTACGATACAATAGGAAAACGGTTGCACGTTTGCGCGGTTGATACGGAGAAAGTAAGAACGAAGGGTAACCAAGGTCGAGGTAGTAGCCGTAAGGGGACCATGTACGTACAGCAGAACCTCGTTAAGGGAGAACGATGCGATCCATGGGAATTGGAGGGTAACATCGAAAGCTACAATACAGAAATGGAACGTACTATAAAATGGAGAGTTTAATGGTTAATTTTGGAGGAATTGAAATAAATAAAAGATACCAATGCAGGTTCTCGAGAGCTAAAGAAGCTTCTAAAGAAGGCACGGTTTTAACTAGATCCGTTTCCTTCGATCTTCGTGAAAGGAATGCCTCGATTTTTGAGGTAACGTGGACAATTGTTCACAATTTGTTGAATCGAGAAATAAAGTACCGGATTAACGAGGTTTCGCTGTACATACCAAAGAAACGTTAGATTCTAACGTGTACATTCACTGACCATTAACTCTCTATAACCCCACGTGACTCTACACCTCTGATCTCTGATTTGATGCACAATTTTTCAATCTCTCCTATCTATATTCTCCAGAAGCTGAACGTAATTCGGGTTATAGAGGGTTAACCGAATATCCTCCGCGATTCCTTCGTTTCGAGTAGAAAAACTGAGAAGCGTGAAACCAGAAACCGAAAACAAAACAGAGCGGAAGGGCAGGGATCGAGGGAAAGAGAAAAGAGATAACAGAGAGAACGAGATAAAACCTCGGACGTTTACCCCTCGCCGAGACTTGTTCTTAACGACCGCATCGAAATGTTCACGTAAAAAAACATCGACGCACACCATTATTCCACCCGTGATATCGTGTCAACGGCGATCGATAAAACGGCATAGCGCGATCAGTCGTCGATCTTCCTTGGTTTTCTTCGAAATCGTATTCGCGTCAAGAGCGTTCTCGCTTTTTCGTAGCGTCCATTCCAAAGACCCCGTGTTGGTGGGATTTCTCGCACCGTTGCTGAAAAAAAATATCCTCCACCACTGTTACCATTAAGAGTGTTTTTTTTTTTTATATCTGTTTTTTTTTTTGTTCCATAATTGCGGCAATTGCCCCCCGTTCCAAAATTCATTCGTTCCGTTCTCCATTTACATAGAGTACACAATCGACTGACTGACATCGACGGCAGTTCACGTACACATGTATATTATACATATACATATACATATAGCCTGTGTATACATACATATATATATGTATATATATACATAATACACATACAGGCAGCTTCTTTATACGGCGTCCCACGTGTTAGAGTATGTACGTACACTGAATAAGTAACAGTCGTCGACGTTTCCGGTGCTCGAAATACGAATATGTGTGCTAATTAGTGCAGCCACAGATACAAGTAGCAAAAGAAACTGGAACGGAGCGACGCAATGACCTTTTAACCCTGTCGCGCTCTCGGATTTCATTTAAATTCAACGCGAGCACACCGTTGGGGGGGTTTTCCCTCGAGTGTTTGCCGAACAGAGTTCCCCAGAAACGGTTGGTCCGCGCGCGGAGACGGCGATTCGGATGGTAAAATGGAGCAAGAGGTGCTCGAAATGCGTATTCAACGAAATAAACAGCATTAATAAAAAAAAAAAAAAGAAAGAAAGAAAGAAAATATACACCTTTACTCCATTTTACTCGTTCGAACCGTAACCTCTGCGACGACCACCGACTTTGGGAACGCTATGAACATTTTTTTACACACAGTGAAAACAATAAATTCATCGGTGTACGGGTTACTGGTTTCAATTGCGTTCGCTCCTTCGACAATTAGTAACAAGTTGAACAAGAAAGAGAGTAAACATATCTTGAGTGTACATACAGTTAAAAATTCCGCATACACTTATAGGAGAAGTACATACATATATCCAGAGTAGAGTATATATCGAAGATAACGAGCATAGACAACGAATAATTATGTATGTGGGAAGAAGAATGCGGAGTTGAAGAAACGTAGACAGAACACACGAAAACGCGCACACGAACGCGCGTGTCGAGCCGCCTTTTGTTTTTGTTTACTTGAAACGAGGACGAATGCAGTACAGGGTGGACGATATTTGTATAGGAGCATCGGAATGCTTCCGTTACTCGTGGATATTAGAGAATACTGTTCAGGATGAAGTTATGCTCGAGGCAAACGTGGTAATAGACAGCAATTGGGGGGGGGGGGGTTTGTGCCCCTTAAAGAGGGAAAGTATGCGAAAATTGATCGCTCTTGTGTGAAATGACATCGTAGACCTTGGCATTTCGAGTCCTATCACTACGTTTACCTCTCCTAACAACTCATCTTGATCCTAAACAAGTTTCTCATATATCCACGCACACACGTAATTCAAATATTCAGAGGTTCCTATTTAAATATTTTCCCCTGTGTAATAGTCTGAAAACGTCCAAAGTGTAAAATAATTTGCACCCTGAACAAATGAATTGTTTTCGCTTCGGGGAAGCATTACAGCGTCCAAAGATGCACCGTTTGCGAAAGAATGTCAAGTAACGATGCACGTGGTTGTTCCACACGCGTTCGTGTCGCGAATTACCATCTCGGACCGCGTCGATGCGTCGTCTTACAATTCTTCCGAGTACATTCGCGTCCATCCCATCTGGGGAACGAACTCAAATTGCTTGGCACCCGTGCGATAGTTTTGTTTTTTTTTTTTCGTATCTTTTTCCTTTTCTCCCCCTTTTCTGTAGGAGGAAAATGTCTCTTTGCTCTCGTCCCAAAAAATACGCGCCATAAAGCCAACAATACCCCGGATGGTCGTTATTTACTTCCGTGTTGAACGGTACACGTTCGAACTCTATTACATATTATACACATACACAGAGGTACGAAAAAGGATGCTTCCGGCGCCAGAGTTGGGTCAAATACTATTTCAAGATTTTTTCACGACACCGCATATATGAATAAATCTGACCTTTTCGTGCATCGAGAGCACGATATATACCTCTCTTTTTCTAGTTACACTCGTTGCAATTTACACTGAGCACTCCATTCTATTCTATTCTTTTTTATTTTTTTTTTTTTTACTTAGATTCATTCTTACCTATCTAAAGTGCACTAGTCGAAATAGTATTTTGCCCACCTCTCTCCAGCGCGTTTCCATCTTTCTTATTATTATCGTCAGTATTATTTCTTTCTTTTTTTAGGGTGGTTTTTGGAGGATTCCTTCAAATTTGCACAACGTCGAGTTTAGCGAGGACACAGACCATGATGCCCATATCTTGCCGCGACTTAACACGCAAACGAGTTACCAGCGACAATTACACATCTCTATTCTATACAAGACAATATCCGGGGAGCAACAACTCCGGGAGATCATAGATCGCTATAGTAACTAGGATCGAGGATTAGTACCGAGGATGACCGAGGATGAAGGTTAATGCGTAAATAGAAGAGAGAACACTTTTTATAGGGACGAGACAAACTCACCTCCTCGCATAACGCCATCATACGCCTCGTACTCTCCAGAGACTGAAACAAAATGAACGTAATTTGGTAAACGAGAGTCCATTTCACAAGCCTGCATAGTTGAAGATACGATACTCCCTTCAAAAATGAAGGAATGCCTCAAAAAGAGGTCTCTCGAGGCGAACATCTTTTATGAAAGTTATTGAAACTCGATATACTCGATGGAAAAAATATCTTAAGATCGAAATTAGTACGAGATAAGAAGACATCGCGCTTTAATAACGAGAGATAAGAACTCAAGGCCGGACTATGTGTACAATTGAAAAACAGATTTGGAAGCTGGTATCATAGATCGGTTTTCTACTTCGATTCGCTGGGTTGCTTCCATCAAGCATAAACGGGGGATTACTGGATCCTTGTACTTCGAGTAACCCATATAAAAAAAATAAATGAAACAAAGACGTACAGAGTTATATTGTACTTTAACTACGAGGAACGAATTTGATCGATTCTCATAGAAACAAAGGGTGTCGTGATCCCCTTGCGAAGGTCAGCCGAATCTTGAAAGAAGGAATCGAGTGTACAAACGTACCTCATCTGTAGTTTGATCGGCCTTCAGCTGTAATTCCTGCAGTTCGGTGCGGGGTGGCCCACCCCCCTCCACCGCCCCATCTGCTGCTGATGTCGGAGCAGGCATCTTGACGGGTGCCTGACGAGTAGTCTTCTTCCGCTACCTCTCTTCTCTCCCGTTTAAGCTACCTCTTTACCGGGCGCAGCTCCTTCTCCGGTGGCTGAAGCCTCCTGCAACATTAAAGGGTAAACGGCGAATTAGAAAAGCCGTTCAGCAGGATCGTTCTATAAAGTTCTCCGTAAACTCCAGCAACCTGGAAGAATGCGCTCCATTAAGGTAATCGAGTCGAGATAACTACTTCCATTAAACGGATAGGGGATCCCTTTATTAGATCAATAGACGTATAGCAAAGTTCTCTTCGCAATGGAAACGTTACAAGTAGAAGACTTAATGAAACTAAATACTTTAAAGGTGAATACTTTGAGAGAGCACGTGAGAAACTAAGGGTGCACGCGACAAAGCAGCAAGATCAAAGAGCAGAGTCCTCTGGACGGTTGATAGACCGCAAGCGGTTGGTTCCAAGAGTTCAGGATCAGTGGTTGCGAAATTTCACGCGAGGATTTAGCGAAAGCCACCGCTGGCGCCGGGATCGGTCGTCGCGGATGCATGTTTACGCATTTACGCGAAAGGCATACGTGTGCGGCCGCGCTCCTCCGAAAATCAATACCCGACGACCGCCCCGACCGAACGACCGACCGAACGAACGACCGACCGACCGACCGACCGACCAGTCGACCGCGCAGACGCACGACCGCCATCACGTCCCTCTCCCTCGCTCCTTTTTATCCTCACTGAGGTCTGATCAGCTGAGACCTTCCACGGCGTATGGGTTAGGTCATATCCCAAGGATTCCGAGATTCTTTTCTACGTACAATTAATCAACAGTCTGATAAATAAATTACTGATAACATATTATGTCTTCTTTGGATATACTTGAAAAGATAGAGTTGCAGTCGATGCATTTATTGCATCATGCAAATTCAGACTTCTACGGAGGTAGCATCGAAACCTTGTGGATGGTTCCTGTCTTGAGTAATGGTTTGACGAATGGGTGTCTGTGAAGTAAAAGCATTTGGAATTTGAGCTTGGAATTTGCATCGTTGTCTTGCCAGACTGATACCGGGCGTTTTATCGTGTCTGGGAGAAGGTCAGACGTTATCTGACCTTTCCAAGGTACAGAGCTTTTCCAGTGTTATTCTGTCGTGCAAAAAATATCTATTTATACTGTACATGATCCATTTTTCTATAAATATTTCTTGAATGTAAAGCGTGAATGTAAACTGCTTTCGGATCACTCGAAACTCGTGTCTGGCTCCTGTACAGTATCGATACCAAACGGTACGCGTACAAATTCTGTCGTTTAATCGGTCGATCGCAGGAAACCGTGTTGCACGGTTCCAGGATGGGCCAATAATTATAAATATTAGCTTCCGATGCAAACACGAGCGTCCACGTCGACGCTCTGGCATAACGAATAAATCCTTCGTACGCTTGCTTCGGGAGAGCTCGCAGGCATTACCTTGTTATCGTAAACTATGCTTTTAGGAGGCTCTGGCTATGGAGAACACTTTGTCACGCGAGCCGTGGCCAACTTTTGCTATAATTATGCAAGCGTATTCTCGATACTTCCTTAAATTGAATTCTCCAAAATGTCTACCACTCGAATAAATGGACGAACCTCTGAGAACAAACTCTCACCCTCCATTGCGAAGCACGGAAATCTCAACTACATGTATATCAGAGTAATAGATACTTGTGACGCACTTTCATCTACTTTTGCAGTACGAGGACAGAATATTTGATGAAGCTGACCTCAGTTCACAAACGCTAGAGTGGAATGATTTGGGCCATCGGTGAACCGGATCAGCCACTTATTTGTAGAGATCTCGAACAACAGATTCGAATTGAAAAATAAGAACAATTATCTTCCTTTACTTGGAACACAGTGTCCAGTCCACGAGCAGATCCAGAACGAAACACATTTATAAGAGACTACAAATGGGACAAACCTTGCTTAATTGGGCCACCACATTGTTCTCAGTGAGTCTCAATTAATTGGAACAAGTGATTGCATCACCCTACGAATTAGAATCTTAAAATGAGAAACCCCTTCAAATACCACGAGTACTATTTTTTTTGAAAATAACTATCACAGAAGAATCAACTCCCCTGGGTTTCACCCTTTCCAAAATAAATTCCAACAGATATTCGAGAAAACATTGATTTCAAGATCCCTCCAAGCAGGGATCCACCTTCCCTGTTGCTTATATTTTTTCTCAAGGACCTCCGATAGTTCGGCAGTCACGGGCCTTAGGGCTCTTTAACGCGCCCCTGGAATAAATTATGGCGTGATCAATTGTCTGAACCTCTGTCCTTGCCCTCGAGACGAAGTTGGCTCATTTCCAGGGTGAAAGGTACCGCGTCGCTGCTCCTGGTCACGGTGCAGCTCGTCAAGATCACGGGCGACTAGTCGGATCTGGAGGGCACGACGTGTATACCCTCCTCTCGGTTGCAGACAAACAGATATCGGTGTTCGATAAACGAAAACGTAAGAGCATTCGAAGGGAATCGCGGCGAGAAATCAATAAACCAGGCCAACCAGCGAATATTATTTCGATACGAACGCTTGGTTCCGTCCCCCTGCGTGTTTGGAAAAACCTTACATGTACAGAATCTAAAAAAGAACGAATATTTTCATCGTTATTCGTGTTACATTCAAAGACAAATGTGAAAAGTGGGCTTTTTCCATTGTAAAGACGAGGAAAGAAGTGGCTCATGATCAATCCTTGGAACGGCGAACTTTTCAGCAAGACCCATTTCTTTTGAAAACTGATACTTTTTTGGATTATTAAGAACGAATTCTTCAAATTTCTGTATGGCCATTCATTTTTCCATTTTTTTTCAATGGTTTAACCTTGAATTTAATCTTGAATTTCAAGGTCAAAATAGATTCGTCGATAGATTCGGATAGTCGCTTCCTTTGCACCCTCGTGCATCATTTCGAAACAAATTCCTCAGCACGAACTCGCATGACGCGACAAGGATCTCGAAACTAATCGTCCATTAAAATACCCCGTGACGAAGGACACGGTTCGATATACGCGGTATATCTTGTCTAAGAGGCGCTGTCACGGACATAGGCTGCGCCTCTTAGGCAGGGTAAGTAGAAATATTTACCCACAGTTTCGATACATCAATGTGCCCAACCTTCGTAGCAACGAATTACACAGATTACATCGACACTTGGTATTGTAACTATATCTGCTTTCTTGGAATATGTGATTGAGAGAAATTAAAATTTGTGCAGTCTTTCTATTTAGATAAATGGCAAGTTTACTCTTAGACAACACACAGAATGAATTCCTGCGAGTAATATTTTGAAAAAGGATGGACCTTCTAAAAATAATTAGTGTAGGACTCCGTCAAGCTTAGATCCACCTCTGGCATCTAATACGTATTCAACGTAAAAGTGATCGCAACGATAAGAAGCTCGGCAAAAGTCACTCAACGTCACGGTAAAAGGTGAGATAGTACCATCGCCTATAATTTAAAAAAGCAGCAGAAAATTTCCAAAACCTTTCGGTCTTGCAATATCAAATTTAATAATCGTAGAAGCGAGCGAATGAAACGATACGCAAATCGCGACCGTAGAACGTTATATTTCCGCGACAATATTTGAGCGCTAAGTGAGTCTAAATAAAAAAAAAAAAACTACCGCAATAAATATAGAACAGGTGAGAAGATCAATATTTTAGTACATTTCCGCATCCGATGACTCATACGCGCGTCATTGTAATTACGCAGTCTATCTTTCCTCGAAACGACTAAAGATGCAAATGTATTTTAACGTAATGCTAGCATAAGCCCGTCTCTCTCCTTCTCTCCAACACACGCGTCTAAAATCAATGGCTGTTATCAATGACTCGCGTCAGCTGTTAGACCAGCAGAAATTCTGTAAAAGCCACCGTGTCGCCGTCAATGACCCGAAATTCCCATGATCGAAAACAACAGACAAACTAAAACGTATTTATAAACTTTCACGTGTGCGATAAGTAGACCGCGCATACGTCAGACATTAAGAAATCAATAAATAAAGTTGCCGGTTCGAAGCAGCAACGTTAATGCGACGTCTTCCGCGTCGAACAGGTATAGAAATTCATTTGAAAATAACACGAACCTTAACTCGTGCCCTCTGACTTATTTCCTTTTACGTGGTTGGATACTGACCTTTGCGACTGTATTAATGCATCACGTAAAATGGACACTGGGTCACGATAAATGTCACACGCATTCGATTCGCACGCTGATAATTTTACGATGCGATCTAATTAGTCTTTGATGTTATCGTTCCCTTTCTACTAGAGAAATGGAAGATAGAAGATAGAAATGTTGAAAATATTACTCTGCGAGAGTTACGAATCGCTATATGATATGACTAAGAAGCACTGTTGAACACTAATGCTTTCCAACGATCCATCGAGAACAGAACTAGGAAGAAAAGATTATGCAGTGAAACCGGCTATTATTACTAACCGTAACTCGTCGATACAGTTGTCTTCGATGGGTGTTTCCTCTGCTCACGGACTCCAAGATCGGCTCCCTGCGAGAGACGAACGAACAATTGGACAACTATCACTCTGACACTTTGTTTGCAAAGGAAAACCGGTTAAACTGCGAGAGCAAACTCGACGAAGACGAACGAGTCCTTTATGATAGGAGGATTGGTAGTCAGCTACTGAGCAACGGAGCAGTCGCAGACTGGCAGCACGGCGAACGTCGCTTGGGTGGGGGGGTGAAACGTCGTCACAAAGGAATGCGCCAATAGGAAGGCGGGTTTATAAACTGCAAAGTCAAGGCGCGGGAATTCGGTATCGAATTCTATGTACTTATATTTTCTGGACGATCTTAAACAGCGTCGTGCTTAATCTTCTTTCGGAATATTCGTGCGTATCGAACGATCTTTTATGTTGTTTTATGGACAGTCAATTATTACGTGTTGGCGTTATATCGATTTTTGATGATAAACGATTCGAAGAGGGTAAATTCTGAGTCGAATGTTATCCAATATAGTATCGAATTGCGTCTCGTTGACCAATCCAATAAAGGAACGCAGTAATTGTTACGAAACATACTATATCGAAAGAGAAATGCTGTGTGTTCTATCACTGGGGGAAAATCACTAGATTCCACAATCAATCGAGACGCGTGCTGCTCGTTGGTGCCAGGACTTGTGACTTTCTCCAAGAACTTGGACGAATTCATTGATACACATGCAATTACTTTCTCTTTTTGTATTCCCTTTTGTAATTATATCAAAGATTCAAACATTTCCATCTCGTAATGTGAATGCAATGCCATTCTTGGAAATAATTACAAATTTACTGGATAACAAGTAAAATACTTGGTAATGTAAAAGTTTATTAAATACTTGAACATACAGGTCGTATTCTATGATGAATCATGTTAAAGAGAGCGACACCCTGAGGAAAGTCTCGCATACGTATTTCCAATCGTACTTATTTTGAATATAATGAGTCTTTGGTATACTTTTCTTGTACATCTATTGAAGGAAATGTAAGCAATATATTATTAGTACAATAACATTTCCTCTTTTAAAACAAGAAATTACCATCTAAAGATCTAACGGACATGTCAAACACTGTACATTAAACAGATATCTATAAACTAGCAAGTTACAGAAAATTCAACGAATTAAAACGAGGAGGAAACTTGTCAAACGATTTAGACAGACATCGAACCGGGTTCAGGAGAGAAATATCAAAACGAAAGGAAATACTCTTCGATGTTTACAATCAAAGAGCTAGATAGGAAAAGATAAAACCTGTTAATGATATTACCATATATGTATAATAAACTTGCTGGCACGCCGTGCGTGCTTTAGGTAAAACGTAGCTAGAGTAAAGCAGAAAATCGATACAACTTCACTGCAATGTGGTAGCTCGTACGTTTTCCACCTAGGGTTTTACATAAAGATGAATCTAATTAAACAATGCATTCGCTTACCAATGAAAGTCAATGGTGTGCCATATAACGGAGGGAAACTATGCCTGTTAAAAGCTTGGTGTTTTCCAGGATACTGCAGCTATCACAGATGATTACTCCGCACGATGAAACACATAGTCTTCTGGCCACTTCTGACAATCGGAAACCAAGGTATGGTTATATCAGCTCCGAAAGTGGCGGGAACTTTCAAACCCAACAACACAAGGGTGATTCACAATCTGTAATTATAAGAAGAATTTCCTGAAATATTGCACTACTCAAATTTAATAAATAGTTTTCGACATTTAATTATTTGCAACTTTACTGTTTCAAACAACAAATAAACAACACATTTGTATCGGTATACGTAAATAATCGCAATTAATCTTATCAACCAAAATTTGATGGTTTAGTATACAATAAGATGTACTTCGTATATTCTTATGCTGATTAATTTTCTGATAATAAAACAAAATATTTTAAATGACATGGTAGAACAAATCAATTTCAAACTTCAATGTACAGTAATCCCTCCTTAAAATAAAGCTTACATTTAATATGGTTACATGGAATATATTATATATCCAACAGAAAATCACATATAATACATTGCATAAACAAATCCTTCCTCAATAAAACGAGTAACGTTGTACTATCTTTTAACGAAACATACATATATTTATTGGATTATGTTATAGAATTTATCTTATCTCGATTCTAATAAAAAATGTTTCGAGAGGCGTACTGTTTGATATTTAGCATACGCCTTCTCTTAAATATTTTATTTATATTTCGAGTCGGAGAGTGATTCCATCAGTCGAGACTATTGGAATCCGTAAAGTGAATTTTTCTTCCTATGAATATTACCATACAGAGTGTAGAGCAATTCAAGTCGCACAAAGGCGTCAAGATTGATTAACATCTTTGAATCAGCAATACAAAGAAGTATAAAATATCAACGAAGGAGCGAGCTACGTCAGTTGGAGGCTGGAGGTCAAAACCAAAACGGAGGCGTACATACAGAAAGATGGCAGGCTTTCTGTTGTGCGCTGCGCGCTTACTATTTTTATTTCTTATTAATTTGATCCTTATATCATCTTGTTCTGCAAACAAGCTGGTAAGAAATGTACCAGAGCCGTTGATCCAAAGTGCCTTGAATTCTTTGAACGAGGATTCTCCGACCCACCATACGTACAAGGGCGGTAACCTGATTAGCGCGCAAAAATTGGTATGTTCCCTATATATCTTATTATTAATCAACTATTTCAATCAATACTAATAAAAATGAAATAAACTTACATCAAAATTGCTATAAACAAATTTTGCGCAAGTTACATTTTCTGCTTTGATCACGATTTACAACATATTTGTCTATATTTTTTAGGATGAGTCACCATACGTAATATATAGACTTACATTTGACTTGACCCCTGTTTGCAAAAAGACATTAGAACCTTGTCCTCGAGAAGCATGTACCGTAGAAGTAAAGCAACACGAACGAGGAGACATACACGTTTTACGGGAATCTATACAGTGCATGTATTTGTATCCCCAATCGACACAAGATGATCCACTGCAAGCTCAAGAATATACTCAGGACCAGGAGATTATTGAAAATTTGGACAAACAGATTGTCATTAACCAAAGCGTAGAACTTGATCATGAGATTCAGAAAACTGGAGACCATAATGATAAACCATTCATAGCTATGAGGGCTTCTAGTTCTAATTATTGTCCAGGATGTCCATATGAATTAAATCCAAACATACCCGAGTTAGCTGTGTTTGGAGAACAAGTGGCAAAGTCAATGGATGAATTAATATTGAATGACTTCAAGCACAAAATGATCAATGTTATAAAAGTAACTCGTGCTGTACCACCTTCATCTAATGTAATACAATATCAATTATTATTACGTATGGGAGAATCAGATTGCTTGAAAAATGCAATAGATCAATCAGAATGTTCTGTGCAATTGAATCTTCCCATTAAAACATGCTTGGTAACATTTGAAGAACAACCTTGGCAACAATCTAGTCGTAAAATAACAAAAAACAATTGTACTTCAGCGAATAACATTGAAGTTGGACATAATATTGATCATTCTTCAACATTAAATGCTGAAGCACTTGTAACAGAGCCTGCACCTAACAGAGAAGAATCTAATCTTGAAAAGGTTGAGGCTATGGAAAATTTAAAAAGTATTCTTGATAATTACACTTATGCCACAACTGCAAAATCAGAGGAGCAAGACCAATTAGAAGTAACAGAATATCCTATTGTAAAAATTTCCAGTAACAAAAGTGATGATGATAATACAAAGCCTCAAGGATTTGAAGATAAAGTTAAAGAATTTGGGGAATTTCTAACAGACTTTAATTTACCTACAAGGGAAGCTAAATCAGAGCCAGAAACGAACAGAGTGGAAGTTAAAGAAGAGATAATTCTGCCAAAAAGAGTTTCTGCTGATTCTACAATCACTGAATCACAAAATTTGTATAGAAACAAAAGACAATCTGAACTTATTGGTGCACCACGTATCAAAGATGTTAATAATACAGAAGTAAGGGTGCTGGCAAACAAAGGATTACAAAAACTTTCAGAAAATTTTGAAGGTACACATGAACCTATGCTAGTAGAAATTGTGGAAGCCACTGAACAAATAGTATCGGGATCTTTGTATAAAATAAAAGTTAAACTGGGCACAAGTACTTGCCCAAAAGGCTCTAAAGATAATTGTCAGTTAAAAGAAGGAAGTGAAATCAAGGAATGTTTGTTTTCGATATGGTCACAGCCATGGAAAGATAATGGATCTCCGGAAATTACCATCAATTGCGATCTAAACAACCGAGAAAAGCGGTCTTTAAAGGGTGCTCAGTATAATCAAAAAATGTTAAAACTAGCTCAAGATATAAAAAACGAAACATTGTTCGAAAATTCTAATTTACCAGCTGCATCCTCTGAAATTAAGGAAGAAATCACTTTGCCAAAAGAGGTGCCCTTAACAGATTCTATAATAAATCATTCTACTAAGTTATACAGAAGCAAGAGAGAATCTGGTCTTGTTGGTGCACCTATTAATATAAACGTTGCTGATCCTGAAATACAAGAGATTGCTAAGAAAGGATTGCAGAAATTCACAGAAAGTTCTGAAGGTACAAACGAACATACGGTAGTAGAGATCGTAGAAGCCTCAAAACAAGTAGTATCAGGATATTTGTATAAAATAAAAGTTAAACTGGGCACGAGTACTTGCCCAAAAGGTTCTAAAGATAATTGTCAGTTGCAAGAAGGAAGCGAAATCAAGGAATGTTTGTTCACAGTATGGTCACAGCCATGGAAAGATAATGGATCTCCAGAAATAACCATCAACTGCGATTTGAACGACCGACCAAAACGATCCTTACGGGGTTCTCAATATAGTCAAAAAATGTTGCAGCTAGCAAAAAATATCAAAGACGAAACTATGTTCGAAGATTTCATCAGAGAACATAATAAATCGTATGCTTCAGCTAAAGAAAAACACAATCGTTTCAAAATTTTTAAAAAGAATCTGAACAAAATTGTAGAATTGCAAAACTTTGAACAAGGAACAGCTGAGTATGGCGTTACAATGTTCGCAGACTTGACGCCTAAAGAATTTAAAGCGCATTATCTAGGTTTGCGACACGATTTGAAACAAGAGAACGAAATACCATTTCCAAAAGCTGAGATACCAAACATTGATTTACCTGCTAAATTCGATTGGCGTAATTATAACGCAGTCACACCTGTGAAAGATCAGGGACAATGTGGATCGTGTTGGGCATTTTCAGTTACAGGCAATGTAGAAGGCCAGTATGCAATTCAAGAAGGCAAATTGTTATCGTTATCTGAACAAGAACTAGTAGACTGTGATACAATGGACGAAGGATGCGGCGGAGGTGAAATGGAGAATGCTTACAGAACCATAGAAAAATTAGGTGGTCTTGAATTGGAAATAGATTATCCTTACGATGCCAGAAATGAAAAATGCAACTTCAATCGAAGTAAAGCTAGGGTGCAGATTGACTCAGCTGTAAATATAACATCGAATGAAACACAAATGGCACAGTGGCTAGTAGCAAATGGCCCGATTTCTATTGGTATTAACGCTAATGCCATGCAATTTTATATGGGTGGTGTTTCGCATCCCTTTAAGTTTTTATGTAGCCCTGAAAGTTTAGATCACGGCGTTCTAATTGTGGGATATGGCACGAGCAGTATGTATTATACTTTCTGAACGTAATTACATCAGTTTCAATATCGTTTACATAACCTATTTCGTTTTTGTTTTCAGAGTATCCTCTGTTCCACAAAGAGTTACCATACTGGATAATAAAAAATAGTTGGGGCCCAGGTTGGGGTGAACGAGGTTATTACAGAGTATATAGAGGAGACGGTACCTGCGGAGTTAATGCACAAGCTTCAAGTGCTATAATAATAAAGAAAAATTATTCACGAAACTAACGTCTTTCAGGATATTTAACTCGTCTTAAATAAAATATTTTTTGTTACTAATACGATATGCATGTTATATAAATTTTATCGCTTGCTTTATGAAGAAATTTTGTACGATATTTCTAAACGACAAATAATTTGTTTCATATGCCAAGTTGCGAGCTCGAATTAATTTCCAATTATAATTATATAGAATCGTACTTATAATGTTTTCGTAATAAAAAGAAATACTTGTTACGATATTTTCATGTCCCTTATATTATGTTCTTATCCTGAAATCCAACACTTAATTTTTATCCAATCGTATAAACAATCAACGCTGGCCATTAAAAACTAGAATTTTCGAATCGCACAATGTTCTGAAACATTACTTATCGACGAATTATACGAACTAGGACATTAATTCACAATATGATCTAAAATTATATTTTCTTATTTTGACAATCACAAATATATTACCTTAAAATTCTAAATCAATATAAACGAAATAAGCTGTCATCGTTATAAGTGTTTGCGTACTTATAAATTTCGTTTATTGTAAATTATAAAAATTCACATACGGAAATAATTCATTTAATATGCGACTTCTAAAACAAATTTACGACTGAATTCAAATCCTAGACAAATGCGAAATTACAGCGTAGGACATAATACGCTTCTGTAAACTAAAGAATTTAACAAGGTCTAATAACCAATGATCATACTTTTTTCTATAATTGATAATGTTATAGAAACGTAGTCGCGTTTTTCGATTCGCACGTTTATCAAAATTGTATCGACAAATGTCAACAACATTTATTCCGTGAATATCTAACAATTACGCTTACATAGCGTTTGCGAGTCATTAAAATATCTATTCTCCCAATTATATGTATATATATTCTCTAATGTTCTTCACGCGATACGTTGACGCCCATTATCAGACACTTTATCATTATAAACTAAGTACGCACAAGAAAAGGAACAATTATTACAAGTTAAGGGGAACATATAGTTTCTCGTTGAAAAAATAAGATGTCACGGAATAAACTATCAAAAACGTGAAAAGTTTTATGATGCAAATTCAATGCAGATACGAAGAGATATTTTTTAAATACATGCTTAAGGATGTAGAACATATAGCGTACTTCACTTTCGTACTGTATGGCAATTTAAGTCGATTACCTGTTTAGTTTTACAATTGCAATACATATTCGTCAACAGTCGTAAATTTATCAGTGTTTCCTGTACGGCTATGTTATTTAAAATTACGTTAAGACAGAACTGCATGAAAAAATCGGTTTACTGCAGCAAATGAAAATATCAGTACGACGTGTAGCATTAGGATTCGTGTCAGGTCACTGATGTGTCATTGATACTGTAAAGATTTCATTTCCTTTCCTCGTCAATCATCCGCGAACGAAAGAAGAATAAAGATTATAAAATATACAGTAGACACAGCAACGCAATGAAAAGCTGATACAGGAAAAAACCATTGTATTTATCCACTAATAGTAATTGTAATGTCCCCACTGATTATATGGCCCGTATGCTTGCGGTCCACCTTGCCCATATTGCCAACTCTGATAATTTGCATAGTTAGGATCGGACGGAGGCGGATATTGTTGATAACCCTGTTGATAACCGCCTTGGCCGCCATACTGGCCGCCCTGAAATTGTTGCTGCGATTGGTAAGGTCCGCTTGGCCCACTGCTGTACTGGTAAGATGACTGAGAGCTAACAGAAGGCGGCAGTGGTACGCTTGATTGGTCACCCGTTTTGACTTTCTTTGGAGGAGAAGTATCACTGTAACAACGAAGCAGTTAATAAGTAGTTATAAGTATTATACAATTTATTCTACAATAATTATTCTTCATTTTTACAACTTACGTTTTGGCATCGTCGCTTTTCGTCTTCTTCCGTTCCTTTGCTTGTTTGATGCATTTTTGGAATTGTTCGTGCGCTTTCAATACTTGTCGAATATCAGGACTAAAATCTTCGAGAAATTCTACTTTACGTTGTGCAAAAAGGACTCTTTGCTCGAGGTCAGCATGTTCTCGTTCTATAAACATATCCATGTATCCTACGATTTCTTGTGTATCGACAGGAGTTCTCTGCATCCCTAAATCGATTAATTGTAGATAGAGTCTGGGATTATCTTTGTCTTTCTCTGTAGCCTGGAATAATATGAAAATAATATATATATGTATATATATCTATATCCGTGCAATGATTAAATATGGGAAAAAGTATCGTCAACGTACCTTCAGTAATACTTTAATTGCCTTATCCACATCATTTTTGACTTTGCAGAGAAACCGTGCGTATTTAACAGCGATGTTATTTGCGATCGTTCTATTTTTACTATTGCTAATATAATTTTCATATAATGTACAGGCTTTGTCCAAATCCCCTCTTCTACGTTCCAAATTTATTCTTCGATACGCCACTTGTAACATATTTGGTAATACGTTATCGATATTTTCCAATATGCTAGCCGCTTTTTCGAAATTATCTTGACCTTCTTCAAAGGTCGCCCACTGAAGATGCAAATTTGGTTTCTTTGGATGATGCACCATACATGCTCTGGAGTACACGTCCCTAATTTTATCAACGTTATTGCCTTTCAACGACTCTAAATAACGAACAAACTATGGAAAAACATATATTTACTTAATATAAGTGTCTTCACTTAAGAAACATTAATTAAGATACTGTTATTATCGACTTACTCGCATCCAAAATTCATCGTATAAAGCACAGGCTATCAAGCACCTTTCAAATAAAATAATTATTCGATTTTGATCTTTCTGCTCGATTTCAAAATCGAGATATTCCTTCCAATTCTTCAGCTGACATCGTTCTAAAGGTTTTACGTGGAAGTATGGCCTTTTAATCTATCGATAAAGATAAAGAAATAAGTATCGCTGTAAAACGATATGTTAAATAGATCATGTTTATATACTTACGCCTTCTTCGTATGACCATCTCGCAGCAACTGCATTGATATTAGCTTTGTGCATTTTACGCCTACTGCTAATAATTTTCTCTCTGATAGCACGTGTCTCTTCGTCGGTAGGTGGAAGTTCGTGTGGTGGAGGTTCTTCGCCTGGTGGTGCATCGTCAGCCGCGGAAGTGGAAGTGCTGTCGTCTGATTTTAACAGCGCTTTTACTTCAGCGCGCAGTGCGAGAAAATCGTCAACGCTTAAAATACGATTTGGTAAGTTCGAAGAGACAAACTCTTGAAATGCATCGAAGTGAGAGATATAGCCAAGGGTGGGGGTACATAATAAACAGTCATACAATGCTGTTACTCTGCTGAGACGTTTGCCTTCTAACTCCCACTTTATATAACTTTCCCAAAGACGATCAGATCTAAAAGATATTAAATTTCTTTGCAAACATTCAATTACAATAAAACAATTTTACACGTAAAGCTGAAGAGAAATCAGACCTAAACTCAAGACCACACGCTTGAATAGCTCTTTCGTATTGTTCTCGGAGTTTCTCTTCGTCCTTTTCGTAGACGGTTTTGCAGTGGTTGATGTAATGGAGCCAAAGGTCCACACTGAGCGAAATAGCTTTCAAACCTTGGTCGAATACCTGTAGTAATGATTTACAATCACATTTAGAACGGTTTATAACTGATTGGGCTGGTGGCGGGTAGACTTATACCTATTTCTTTTTTTTTTTTTAGCTTTCGTTAAGCATTACGGTTTTTTAGCAACGTATACTCACATATCGTACGCGTACTGTAAATAAAGAGATTTATTTAACACAGAGATTGCAGAGCATTGTGCATTCACCTTAAAGTCAAGGAGTGTTCCAATCTGGGTGCCTCTGTGTCTTCCGCCACTTTTTCTTGCTCCCTCTCTGGCACGTTCACGTCCTAAGTCTTTGTTTCTGACTTTGATTTAACACCCAACCCAATCTTACTTACATTAAGTAAGGTACCGCATCTTATGCATAAGTTACAATACTTTCTGTAGTAAGCTATGTGTACAAATGCTTACAGTAAATATTACACACAATTTTGCACGATAAATATCGCAAATTGAAACAACTAGCCTTCGCTTGACTTACGTATCATACGTAGAATATCAGTATAACGGTATAAAACAGTAATATTCGCAATAATATCGTATATATCGCAGAATAATTAAGTAACTAGCTATTTGGTAAACGGAGAGAGTCGTATAGGTGCCGCAAGACGTGCTAGGCTGTTGGAAGGGAAAACCATATTTACGTGCGTGCACACTGCCCACGCGTCTTCCTAACTCGAGCTATTTTCATTAGATTGCGTTAATTAAATGATATCATAATGAGAGGTAGCCTAATGAATATGGTAAACGAGTGGACTCACCCTTTGGACATTTTCGGGGTTGCCCTTCTTCTTCTCGTAATCAGCAAATTTTCTCCAGTAACCGTAGCAATATGGATAACGCTCCAAAAATTTGGTATAAGCTTCGCGTGCAGCCTCTGCATCATTCTATAAAGATAACAAACAATGTGAGTATACCGTATCTCTATTTTTATATAGTCTTCATACTTCTCAACCTACTTCTTGATCGACATATTGAAGAAGATACGTCCATCCTGTGAAATCCGACGGATCCTCGTTAACAGCTTTCCAATACTTGTCCAACTCTGGCAACGTCTTTTTCTTTGGTGATGCTGGTTTAGTCTCTAGCTTATTGTCTCCCTCGTCAGCTTCAACCGAGAGTGCTACTTTTTTTGCTGGCGTTTCATCATTATTCTCGGATGTTGGCGAACTAGGGTCGTACTCTCCTTCTGCGTTTAATTTGCGTTTATCTACAAGGAAATAATACAAGAGAATTCAAATGTAATTCCAATAGTTTATACACATATTTTCTTCTATGTACACGTACTTCCACCTTCCGCTTTGTTTTTCTTTTCAGGAGTTTTGCTCATTGCCTTTATTCCGCTTTTTTTCTTCTTCTCGCTATCTGGTGGCAACTCGTCTTCAGAGACGGACTCAGTCTCTCCCAAATCAGCGGGGGCCGCCGCTGGCAATTCTTCGTCAGATACGGCTTCTGTTTCAGGCTCCTACAAGTAAAAAATTAAATTACATTAACACATTTAATTCTTTATTTAAAAATTTAATAACATACCTTTGCTGCAGCTTCAGTAGGCAGTTCATCTTCAGACACAGCCTCTGTGTCTGGTTCCGTTTTCTTGATAGCATCCTCAGGTGAGCATTCATCTGTATTTGCTACCTCTGAAACTTCCATTGTGTCTGCCATTTCTGTATCAGGTTCAATTTTTCCTGCCATGCTCTCAATAACTTCTGGTGCTTCTTGTTGACAATTGTCCACCTCCATAACTTCCATCCCAGCATCATCATTTATAATAGTTTCAGATTCAATTTCCTCTGTCTCCAAAATTTCTGTTACTTGATTTATGGTTTCTCCATCTTCATTTATAACTTCTTGAAAATCTATCAGCACATGTTGGTTTGTTTCATCGTTACTAGTGTCTTGTCCTTCCATTTCTACTTGTCCTCTTTCAGTCAACATATCCACTTTATCCATACTGCTCTCTTCTATGATCATATGATCTGACACATTATCAGTGTGGACCTAATAACAAAATATAATTTATATAATTTAATATAAATAAATAATAAATTTAATATAATTATTGTATTCATAAGGGACATTATTAAACTAACAATTTCAGTTACAGTAGTTTCTAAATCAGGTACATTCTCTTGCTCTTCTGATATTTCTATATTCTGATTCATATTGATTTCATGAACAGCAGTGTCACCAGAATCCTCCAATTCCAAGTGCAACATAGTGGAATCATCCTCTGCATGCTGCTCAATGATAATGTCACCGAACCTTTGTACTCCATTCTCTGGAATACTCTCTAGAACGACTGCCTCTTGCAATATGGGTTCCTGCTCCTCCTAAAAAGTTGCAATGATCAATTATTTTCATCCTATACATCATCAATGATGCGACTTGATGGCCACGAACAGCATCTATAGCGTCGTTGAGCTTACACACCTCGACCTCTTCGATTTCTTGCATTTTTTTCGGGGAACGTGTCGCCCTTGCTAGAAGTTTCTTAGCAGGAGACTTCTTGGCCACGACAGGGGTCTTGCGTGCACGACCAGATCGTGTACGTCGTACTGCGTCAAACATGAAATACAACAGACGGAAATGTTAGAAAAATCAAATGGAATATGTACACGTTACATGCGTGTACGAGACGCCATTCGTGTAATGGCGGTTCGCAGACCTTCGGCGAGCCGGGTGTATCGATAGGTTTATACAACTTTCGTACAAACTTGTAATGAACTCGATCGAGAAATACAATCGTGCAACGTTCAGCTAGATTTATTTCAGAAATATTATCCTCTTACCAGGTTCATTTAAAGCCATTTCACTCTCGTCACCACTTTCGGACGACATCTTGCCTCGATGCAATCTCTGGAATGTAAAACGCAGAACTGAAGAAGAAAATGGCGGCATCATGTTTGAGAGACCATCTGCAGGATACTCGTGAACTAACATAAGGACATTGATAATTATGCAGAACTGGTTTATCATTGATCGATAGAAAATATTGTAATTAGAATTACAGACGAAGTATAGAATGTTCAGAACAGTATGTTTAATGGAATACATGTCTCATAATTCACAATTTAGGGGCTCGTTGATTCATTGGCAAAGTGAACCAAATTTCATTTATGAATTACAAATATAAACTTTATATGCATTCATTGTCCATTACCTACTATTCCATTACCACATCCTCTTATCATTATATTGCTATTAATTTTAGAGAAAATACGTTTACGTTACGTTTAAAAGCGGATAAATGTTTGAATGATACATAAAAATAATATATTGTAGATAATGCGTAAAATAAAGAATAATTGATTAGAAGGTATCGGTGGCGCCGTCTAGCAGAAATAGTGGGAATTATTTTCACTACAAGCTTGGGCATTTTGTCACCGATGGCGCCACTGATACTAAGAGCAATAATATTGTTTTATTTAATAAAATATTATTAAAAATAATAAATCAGACATAATCACTTATTATTTCACTTCAGTTTAAGTTAATTCAATGGAAAAGTAGATATTAGGGGGTAAATGGGGGTAAATTAGTTCGACCTGTTTAGCGATGGTCGTTCTGGATGCAAGCATCTCCCGACTCCCGCCCAAATTTCGTCTACTATCTTTTGTTTATGAATGACATGCTCGACAGAAGCAAAAAAGCATGATAGCAGTGACATTCAGTTAGGTTCACATTCTGATAGAGTAGATCCGATTCATCTGGATCTAACTATACGTCAAACATACAACTTCGTTCGTGAGCATTCTTATCAGTAAGTATCTACCGTATCTCTTATCATTTCTAGACCCAATTTCAATTCAAATTTTCTTCCCTTATCATGCACGTATGTTCGTGATGTATTTCCCAAGCAATGATTAGCCATAAGAAGAAGATTTCTCTGAAAAACATAAACACCAGTCTATTTTTATCTTTGGCTCGAATACCACACAGACTACATTTGATTAAATCGGTACTTTACAAATCATTATGGTTATAAAAGAAAGTTAAATGGTACGTTAAAGAAACGTTGAATCTTTAAAATATACGCATGTGCAAGGGAATGTCGGAATGTTGTTAAAGAGCGCAAGTGCGCAGAATAATCTATCTTGCGTGAGTGTACGTCAAGGTGCATCAATTATCAGTTTCTCTATGAATCTATTATTCTATATGTGATTTTATAAAACGTCGCCCGTCGATGTTATCGCGCTCCATCAATGTTCCAAGTTAAACGAGAATCAAAACAAGCAATGCTGAAGAAGACCACGAGCCGCTCGATTTCGTCCTCAAACCTCCGATTCCGAGCATCTCGGAATTCCGAGGCATTTCATCCCTTTCCTTCGTGTCGTTCGTCGCTAAAAACAATCGCTTCTGATAGTGTGGCAATTACCCTTAGGAAAAACTCGTTGAGATTCCAAAATTATTTTTAAGAGAACAAAATGGTCACTAGTTAAATGTTATTTTTCGTTTTTCCAATGTTCACGTAACGACTGGAATGTCGAGATGTTGTTTAGCACGAATTACCCTTGACGATAACGACTCGTTATTAACGAGTCCTATTATTTGCACGAATTGGAAAATTTCACGATAGGAGATGTCTTACAGCGATGGTGGGCGCCCAATCCGAAAATTCGGTACCAAGTCGCCGAAAAAGCTTTGCGTGACCAAAAATGAAAATAACGATAAAACCACGACCGCCATAAATTGCAACAATCACCACCACAGTCATTATCATCATATCCATCGCTTTCTCGAAACACCTCAGCCATCTGTACACAAACGCAATCTATACATTGTTTCTTTCCCCTTGATACTGCTCTTCAATGTCTTGAGAACGCTACTTTATCAGCTATTCGTGGTGTTTAAGTATCTATATACATCTACATCTCAGCTGATTCAACGAAGGCAAGCTTCCAAACAGACCTGTCAGTTAGAGATTGTAGTTGGTCAAAAATCAGCAGAGAGTTTGAATAATAATTTGCACAATTCTGGACAAATTGAGAACGAAGTTATGTCACAAGTACCTAGAAGACCTATGGGTCCTGGTCCTGGGGATCCTCTGCTTGCAAAACAAAAACATCATCACCGTAGAGCTTTTGAATTCATCAGTAAGGCTCTTAAGATCGATGAGGATAATGAAGGTAACTTATTGATAAAGAATCACCACATATATTCCCTTAATTCAAGTAAAATCAACATCCTTTTGCTAGGTCAAAAAGAAATGGCAATCGAACTTTACAAGAAAGGCATAGGTGAATTGGAAAAAGGGATAGCTATAGAATGTACTGGTGGTCGAGGAGAAGTATGGGAACATGCTCAGAGGCTTCATGATAAAATGCGCACTAATCTAGTAATGGCAAAGGACAGACTGGACTTTCTTGGTTTGTATACTTTTATTTTGTATAAATGTCAGATTTCTTGAGCTGTTCCAGTTATGTGTGGAATAAAAGCACAGCTTGCATTTAACATTATTGACACATTCCTGTTAATAACTTCATAAGTTCTCTATATAATTAAATAGTTAAGCTCAGACAAAATTATGGTAACAGCTTAAGGAATAACACGATGATTAGTGTATTTAGCATGCTCATGTGTTAATTGTGTATAATGTTTACGCGTATGCGTGTGTGCGTGTATGTATCTATGTACGAATCTATATGTGCGTGTATGCATGCGCGCGTATTCCTTCATTTGAGAAATTTATTTTTGGCACAATATGTTTTTTCATAAGCGGTGCAAATACTTATGTATAAATTAGTAGCCAAACTTCCTATAGCAGCATTTCTAATAGCCACTCGATGCTCTCATATCATATTTTGATACTAGTTAAATAGTTTTTAAATTCCGACGAAAGTTAAGAGAACTCTACGAGTTCGGTCCATACTTAGCTATTTAGCCTACTGCAGCATGGCAGAGAATGTTTTTCCTTTTTGTAGTGAGTGTATGTGAGCTGAAAAACATGGATATCTCCAGTGAATATCGCGGCCCTGGAAGTAAAATGGACGGCGAACATCCCGGAAAGAATCTGAGGGCTCGACGCAATATACACACATTACAAACAGCTCGTTCCTCCTTAAACACAAATCATACAAAAAACACAAACAGTACACAGACAGTGAACATAGGACAGAATACATGTACCCAAATCCCCAAGTTAAGGCCACGTTCACCAAAAAACTATTGTGCCCATTCTGAAGGTACTGTTTGTCTGAAGTTCTGGGCTTACATGCAAACTTTTTATTGCAAATTTTTTCATATGATATTTGTAATAGTCGCTTCTCTAAAAATATTAGTTTTCTATTTCATTGATACATGCACTCGTACTATTTTTTTATGTAGTTCAAACAGTAGTAAATGTAGCTATGTTATATTGACTGTTGCAATTATAGTAGTTTTGCTATAGCATAATAATCTAGTATAGTATTTAGTTAATTAAAACTTTTAGTAAGGTAGGACTATTTATCGTACATATATATCTATAATATATATCTATAATAAATTAGACAACATGCACGAGTATATGCATTATTCAGAGATTGAAAATTTTGTAGTAAAAAATATTTTAAAAACTATTATTTTAATTTCTACTCCAATAAAGTGAAAGCTAAACTGAATTAGAATTAAAATAAATTTGTTTCTTAAAAAGGCATACATGTATTTACTTTAACACACTATATACAATGTTCAAGTATTGCACTGAAGTGTTTAATATGTATATATAGATTCTTAACAATAACATACCAATAGACTTGCAAAACATTAATAATGTAATGTATGTCCGTGTTACATGTTATTATCACGAACGATGCATCATAAATTTTTTTATATAAACTTCGATTATGTTGAGAATATAATTTTCTGCTTCAACATATTTGTCTTGTACTTTATTCTTTGCGATAGTTCTTCTATACATATTAGATTTATTGAGAATTTGCATTCGAGTATATTGATAGCGAGTTTTATTTTCCCATTTCCGCATCTTGTACCTCGTTGACTGTATGATATTGTTATAGCGTCCGGAAGGAAGTTATCCGTTCCTGGGAAAAGGGTGGGTACAGCTATAAGCAAGAGTCAGACACTACCGCGCAGTATGGGACGTTCAACGCCAGTTCAATCGTGTCACAGAGTCACACCTATTAAACCAACGTCTACGCCACCTTCGGTAAAAAGACAATTATCTGTACCTGGAAATGGGTCACCTATAAGAAGACCTGGAACACCTACCGCGTCGAATAGTAACAGAGGTACACCTACGAGAAAAGTACCTCTGTTAAAGGGTGTGGATCCAAAACTTGCCCAAGTTATTCTTGACGAAATTCTAGAAGGAGGAAAAGCAGTACATTGGGAAGACATTGCTGGTCAAGAGGTTTGCAGATATCATATATTACCAAAAGGAAATGTATATAAACTACGTATAAATTCATATTTTTTGTCTCTGGATAATACAGACTGCAAAACAAGCACTACAGGAAATGGTGATCTTACCTTCGTTGAGACCAGAATTGTTCACTGGCCTGCGAACGCCAGCAAGAGGACTATTATTGTTTGGTCCACCAGGAAACGGCAAAACGTTACTTGCGCGAGCAGTGGCCACTCAATGCAACGCTACATTTTTTTCAATATCCGCTGCTAGTCTCACATCAAAATACGTTGGGGAAGGGGAGAAATTAGTAAGAGCTCTTTTTGCTATAGCGCGAGAGTTACAGCCATCTGTGATCTTTATCGACGAAGTCGATTCGCTGTTAAGCGAACGCAGAGATAATGAGCATGAAGCCTCCAGGTTGGTATTATGAAATTAAAGATTGCATTGAATAATTGTCATTTATTTAATTAATAATTATTGTCTAGACGGTTGAAGACTGAATTTTTAGTCGAATTTGACGGTTTACCGTGTAATCCTGAAGAACGGGTACTTGTTATGGCTGCTACGAATAGACCTCAAGAATTAGATGAAGCTGCACTAAGAAGATTCACCAAACGAGTATACGTTACATTGCCAGATCTACGGACGCGAATCATGTTGTTAAGGCGACTTTTAGCAAAACATAATGATCCGCTGACACTAGATGAATTGAATGAAATGGCAGTATTGACCGAAGGCTATTCTGGAAGTGACTTAACAGGTCTAGCAAAAGATGCAGCACTTGGTCCTATCAGAGGTAACTTGAAATTTATTCGCCTTTATTTTGTAATATATTGGACTCCTTACTTTGCATATAGCTACAGCAGACTGAATGGATATTAGAATTTTGACCAGACAGTCTAACGAACAGATCACTTGTTCGGTATATGTAAAAACTATCATGTGTTGATATTACACAGAGCTTAATCCGGATCAAGTAAAGGAATTGGATCTTAATTCTGTGCGCAACATTACAATGCAAGATTTTCGCGATTCGCTTAAAAGAATTCGTAGATCGGTATCACCTAGTAGTTTGGCAGCTTACGAGAAATGGAGTTTTGAGTATGGCGACGTAAGTCTATGATTTTTAAAAATTAGCTGAAGCACGTGGATTAAAGATAAATTACGTTGGTCTATCAATTAGTCCAACAAACAAAAAAAAAGTATAACTTTGAGAAATACTACAAAAGTGACTTTCTGCGATATTAATTATTACAGAATGTAAATACAGCAGCTTTTACATTTTCTAAGCTAATTTGTAAATGATAACATCTATACATAAAAAGGGAAACGTTACGATAAGCGAAAGGCACTCTTGCTAAGTACTGTTTTTTAAGTCGTATAGCTTTATACCATACACATATATATGTATAAATACCACATTCCATACTCCATCCAGTAATCAGGTATCATAGATTTAAGTTCCCACTATAGCAGTGTTGATATTAGAATTCCAGTATCTATAGTTATACAGTCTATTTTCTCCACTGCTATTGCCATTTCTTTGTATAACTTTTTTTATTCACATTTTCATTAACGACGAACATTTTCATTAATTCTGTCGAGTTACAATTCTTTCTTTTTTTTGTTAGTTAAGTAGAGATCTGAAGATATTATTTATTATATAATCGCTAAGAAGGTACAACCTCATTATTAACAGTTACGGTATGCACTTTTACGTCAAAAAGAAAAATGTAAATATTTGATTATAAATCGAGCACAATTAAGTTGAACAGTATCGATAGGAAGACTGCATTTGCACACGAAACTGCACACGTCCAATCAGATAATAAAACGAGTAACGTAACTGGGAATAAACAGTTTTTAACTACTGATGTAGACAAATTATGGGATAAGTGTAAAAATTAATAGAAATTTAATGGTGTCTTGTATAACCATCCATCGAGAATGGAGTCCAAGTAGAATTGTTTTCGACACGCAAGTCTTGTAAAAGCAACAAATTGCACACCATTTGACGTATCCAGGAATATAAATCTTGTTATGTTTGATATCTTAAATATTCAGTTGATAATTGTTAAAATGAAATGATATCAATTGAGGTCTCTTTAACGGGGAGCATCATACTTATGAGATTGTGCATCATGTTCTAATTTAATTATATTTCTATGAGACAACGAACTGGAAATATATGTGAATTGTATGAAATTAAAAATATTTATTATTTATAAGTAAATATTATCGATGAAAGAAAATAATATTAACGATAAAAGTATGCTATAAAAAAGAGGTCGCATATATAAATGTTTTTTGATATTTATCTATTGCTTCAAATGCTCAAATAAAAGGTGATTGTGCTTGTACGATATACTCACTGATCTTAAAAACGCGATTATTGTAAAACAATACTAATAAGCCTCCGTGTTAACGTAACATTATTTCACTTCGAAGTTATTTATATTAGTCTCCACAATTTTGATGTATTTTTATTTTTAGAAGAAGCATGGGACAATGTTCACCGCGTATAGTAACTCGTTATAATTTATCTTTAATGATGTTAATGCAACGAGTTAAGCTTCTCTGGTGTGATTGATAGTTAGTACTCTTTAATAATAGTAGATATATACGCGTAGAGTCCATATGGCGTATCTTAACATTTTATTTCTGCCATGCAGTTCGTTAAAAGAATTGTCCATTTAATTGTTAGAATTTTCATGCAAGTTGTAATCGGTGTAAAATCAAAGAAAAAAAAAGTATACATTTGCAGTACAAAGTGCACGCTATTCTCTGTCGAAAAAACGAGTATATAACTGACGATAAAATAATGCCAAATAAGTTTAATTTTCACAGCGATGAATCAATATAAATGCGTTAAGTTTGATATGTGTTGCTGATTATCGTATACGATTGATTTAATCGAAAAAAATTACGAACCTACGTTTGTTAAATTAATGTTGATACTTTTTCTGTTTTGAAGTTCAGTGCCAACATAATTGCATTATACAAACGACGTTTAATTTCATAAATAGAATCTTTCCCTTTATATCGCACTGCTCTTTGTTATATAAAGTTGCGTTGCGTTAAATAATTTATTATATACATAAGTAGAGTAATAACGTTAACTGAATCTTTTCGACGATCTTGCACAACAGACTGTTATCAATATGGATATATATATATATATATCCATTTACAACCCTGGCCTTCCATATTAAAAACACGCTCAGCCTCGATTAAGTTATTTTGCTACTTTTATAATAACTCGTAATAGGAAATTTCTTAAAAATATAAGCATAATAATTACGAAAACGTTAATTAATGCTACTTAACCTAAAATAATTAAAATATGAATCGATTGTTCAGAAATGTTTGTAAAAGTTTTGCACGAACTTAAATTTCCCTTAATAGATACATTTTTGATTTGTGTAACCAAAATAATTATATTGTTAATAGCTTGGTAATTATTAACTAATACCTAATGACACTCGACTTCCGAACCAGTATCCGTGGTAAAGCAAAGAATTTGTTTCGTGAAACCCTAATACAAAAATTATGAAAAATGTATTTTCAAAATGATCTACTTCCCACGAATTCTTTCAATAAATTCTATTTCCTTTGAATGCCAAAGTTATATTTTCAAACAGTGTTACAGATCTCTCGATGAAACCAAACATGAATATATATTTAATTAACGTTGATATACTCAACGACATCACATAATTAAATAGTAATTTTTTTAATGTAACTGAATAGCATAGTATTACCTACTGTATAGCAATACAAAATACCCTACGTATTTAATATTTTGCCGCTATATGATCGTGATCGAGGAACACATGTTTGAATGTAATAAACTGTATAGTACAAATTGTTCTAGCGCATTTCATTTTTAAAAGGAATGATTGCAGCTTCCAAGTGAAAATCAATACAAATTATTCACAACTTAGTGGCATTATTACATACTCTTCTATTATAATGTTACAATATTTCTAGTTGACATTGTTTACATTTACGAAAGAAATGTGTTGGTTTATATGATGATACTTTTTTTTGTACTAAATTCATGCAATAATGCATTTTTCAAATTATATTTCATACCAAAAGTATATAAAACAATTGCGTTACCTTCGGTGTTATGGCAAAGATTGTACATAGCATTAAATTTTTATTATGTCAAAGAATCAGTCAGAATATTGTCTTCTACACGTGTCATCCAGTCTTAAATATTTTAAGTGCTTGACAAAGATGATATTGTAGGAAAACATATATCTTCGGTTAGCATAAATAACTATTGTAAAAGTATACCGGCTGTAAAATAAAATTACCTTGTATGTACTTAAAAAACGTGTTATATTATTTTTTTACATTTAACCAGTTATAAACGAAGGTACTACGTTTCTTATAAATTTAAAAAACCACTTTTGATATTATTTCATAACTTTATATTTTGTAATAACGTGGGCTATGAAATAATACAAAATATTGTGTATTTTAAATATTTATTCCTTTTTTTTTTCATTCAAAGGACAATTTGTTTTTATTATAAGATAACATTATCCTAAGCATTTTCAAGGGCTTCACACCCTGCTGTACCTAAATTACTCTTTATATAACATTTTTTTTTTTAATGTCTTCCATCGGTTCACTGATTATTATTAATCCATAGACAAGATTTTTTTTTCTCAAATTGGCTCTCCATCGTTCGATATCACTTATCGCAGTCAATTAATCATTGCTATGTTCGACTTTGTGTTTCTTCTGTTATTACGTACAGTACTGACTTTATACAAATGAGTTTTTAAAGGTTTTATGGCTTTTTATCGTCGGTGGTGAAGCGAAATATTCTTTTACTCTAAATTCACTCCAATTCCTTTACCTCTATCGATACCACGCAATTTATTAACTTCGCGAGAAATCAGTAAGAATGGCGATCAAATTTGTTAAGAAAAATAAATAATTAAAGCTAACTTTACTGAAACTTACAGAATGAAATTATATTCGAAGTGTGCAATACATTTCTATTACATGTTAACCGGAAGACACGAAAGCGTAAACATCGTGCCGTGTGACAGTACAAACGTCAAATCATTAGATAATATCAAGGGTGATTGTCAATTGATAACTGATAGTTACGAGGCAATAAATTTTTGTTATTCTATAGTATATGTATATCTAAGTAAACATAATACCAACTTTCAGTATACAAATTAAAAAAAAAAAGGGGGTTGAACAATAGTGACTCCATCTCTTAGTGGAAGTTTTTATCATTAGCATTAATACTTAAATTACGTTGTAATAATTACACCAAGGTTTACCATTTCCCTGTACAAATGGAGAAGAGTCACTGGAGCGCACGTAAACACTTTGCATCGAAATTAAGTCAAGTCCAACATAAAAACATTTTATCTTCAACACACTTCTTAGAATATTATCTTTAAAATTCTTCGTAAGAAAGTTTTTTTTATACATTTACCACCGACGATAAATATCACATAACGAGGAAAGTTTACAACTCGTTTACCGACTCGCACAGTTTATTTTATTAAGGGCCCTGCATACGTCAAAGCATGCATCCAAATCTAGCTACATCACAGGCGCCGTCTACCTATACTCTCTATCTTATACTATGTTCAATGTCGTACCTCGTGTTTATCATAAATGAACATTTTTATCTTTGTTCATCGATGATTTGAAATAAACTAAAAATTGGTAATTGTGGCAAAAATATTAAAATATAACAACGCAATGGTTGCATACATACGTACACCTTACGCAGCGCAACGAATGCAGGGCTCGTCAAGGGGCTACAACCTTAAGTTCAGAGATATACCTCGATCAACGCCATGGGTATAAATCGTTTTTGAAATGATTATTCGATTACACTGATGGATTGACTGCTATGATAGATCTGCTTTTTAATTTATTAATGAGCACTGCAAGATGACCTTGCATTTGTTAAAGTGTTATACGTTCCTATTGTTTGGCAAGGGAAACGTATAAAGGAAATATATATTCATGTGTATGTATATATATATGAATATATATATGTATCACTTTGAACTTTCGATGGAGTAGTTCTTTACAACAAGAGCGATTCAATGTCAGTCAGTATCGGGACAATCAAATTTAGGAGCTTTCTTTACAATGTAGTACTTCAGTTTGAAGTAAAACTGGGAAATTTGTACATATGATGCTGCAGTCAAAATACCAATAAATTTGTTGGAATAGGTATATGACAGAACAGTTTTTGCAGAAGCCCCCAAGGGCAAATGTATCATATGTAACAATTAGTTGATGCCAATCAATGATCAATTTCATTGCGTAGGATATTGTGGCATGGTATATGCTACCATGGTAGGTTGCTGACCTGGTGGCAATGGTGCAGTCGCAGTCGGTGGGGCAGCGGTTGCTGGTACAGTTTGCCATGTGCCTGAAGCAGGAGCAGGCATTCGCATACTATTCATATATTGAGCCTGTTGTCCGTAATATTGACCGTAGTATTGAGCAGGTTGTAAAAACTGACCCTGCATTTGTGGATACCCTTGTGGATACCAGTAACTCATTTGCTGGCCGTATCCATATGCATACTGACCAGCACCAGCTGTAACCTATTTTACAAAACATATATGTTAATATATTCTTAATCTATAGAATATAAAGCATAAGGTTAGCATGGAAAAAGTATTTTGTAATAGGAAATCATGACTTAACATTTTTTTCATCTTTTAAATATAATCCAATGAAACGAAAAAGTAATATATATTCATAAAACGTTTGAATAACCTGTTGAGCTTGGTGATTCGCGTTAGGGCCAACGCTATTAGGATCTCCGTTCTCCTTTCCCCAGAAACATTTAACAATACTACCGTTAATTTCTGTATTATGTGTTGATTCTATAGCATGTGTTGCCGCTTCCTTAGTAGTAAATTTGATAAACGCGTATCCTTTATCTTTGAATACTCTTATGTCTTGAATGGTGCCAAATGGTGAAAAAGTTTTGGTTATCAAATCATCCGTAATACCATTCGTAAAACCTCCGCAATATACCGTACAATTGGTTGGACTACTTTGATTATATACCTATCAAAGTAACACAAAAATCATAGAGATACAAGATACAAGCATATTTCAACAAGTAAATATACATGTTCCTACACATTATACATACATATATACACATCAATTTAACAGAAATAAGCATTTGTATATCTAAACTAGAAGCAAGGATAATGGAGTCGATGAAAAGTTGTGTCGTACCTCTTCGTAGTTAGGTTTACTATTGTTTGAATGTCGTGGCCTTTCGGATCTTGGTGGCGGTGGTTTCCTGGTGGACCAATTTGTCCTGATGCTTCTGGATCCAAGCCACTGTCCGTTCATCGCCGCGATCGCCGCTTCAGCTTCAGACTTTTTCACGAAAGACACAAAGGCGTACCCTTTGCTCTTCATAGTTTGTGGATCGCGTACGATTCTACAGTTGCTAATTTCGCCAAATGGCGCGAACGCTTCTTTTAATGTTTGCGTTTCGATCTCTGGCGATAAATCGCCAACGAATATGTGATGATGATTACTGGTGTCCAACTTCGGCTGATTTCCAGGGCTCGTTGCCCAGTTAACCTTCATTTCCTTATTCAGGAAGGATCGCTTGTTCATGGCGGCTAGCGCCGTAGCCGCGCACTGATGATTCGTGAATTCGACGAAAGCATACGGATCGTTTCCTGGTTCTCGTATAATCTTGCATCCTTTCACGGCACCTATTTGCGAGAAAAGTGCGCACAAAAGTTCCTCGGACACCGAAGCGTCTAAATTACCCACATAGAGCGTTCGTGGATTGCTTTCTTCGCTCATGCTCGCTCTTCTCAGTACCCCCTATGTGTACTTCCTTATTTAACTAATATCCTTACGTCCCTCGTGCTTATATTTACGGATCACACGTTCAGCGCGTGGTACGTGCATTTACCTGGACCTCAGCATCAGAATTCAGATTTTCTCGCCTTTTTCCAAAAGAACACGGACGGTTGAACGCGAAGCTACACCCAGCCTCTACGTCATACTAACATAAAATGGCCGCTCGGCTACTTCACCACTTTCCCTTCAATCATACACATAAATGCTCCTATAACGCTTCTTAACTTACGCGAAACGACGCTTTTCCTGGCCGCGTTTCGCACTACTTTACCTACCTACTCTAACGTTTCGCGAATTCACTTAAATGACTCGTTACTTACACGGTTTAAATGCAAAAGAACACGTGTTTTTGTATCATCCGTCCAAGATTTCATAACAGGTAGCGCGAAAACGCTCGTGAATCATTGGCCTACCAAATTCACTAGACGACAATTTCCTAAAGGTTGCTTTTCATCGAATTTTCATTGCGCGTCAAAAATATCTACGAAAATATAGCCTTTTTTTATCTGTATACTTTTACATTGTTATTTAAAAATAGAACGCGCTAACAAACTCATATTTAAACGTCAAGTAATGAGAAAAAAAAATAATACAGTTAGATAACTATGTATATATTTTGAATTATTATTATTATTATTATTATGTACATAAGATTATTTTCATACAATTATGAAATATTAGTCTTTGGATATATAGAAGCTTTCGGAAAAGTAAATTTATCAAATGTACATTAACGATGACATAGTATTTAAACTTTATTATACAATGAAACATATATTTCTAACTTCAACATTATAACAAGAAAATTTCACTTGTAGACCACAGTTAAAATGATTATGCGTTACTGTGTACAGCGTATAGACATACTAATTAATAGAAAAAATACTTTCTTTCTACTGGCGACGAATATCTCACTCGTTTGTTATGCTTTAATATAAGCTGGATAATTAATATACATCGATTTCCCAATAGAACTAATTATCTACAAACATTGTATTATTGCATTCGTATCACTAATACAAACATAGTTTTATTAATACATTTTTTTTTCGCCGTACATTTAATTGTCGTAAACAATTATTTGACATGCAATCAATTTTAATTAGTATTGCACTGATTATTTATTTCCCTATCGCGCGAATGGAAGCAATAATTACCACGTTTAGAATTTTCATTGCGTGCCAGCTTATACGAGCAATGGTTACGTTTATAAAACCAGATACATAAACTTAAATTGCATATTAATAAAAATTCATTGGTTCGTGGCTATTCAGTCTTCATGAAATATTAAACATTACGTAAATATGTAGCGGGATCTTCAAAAAATGTCATGTTCCGTATTTTTAAACCGGACCGTACGAATGTTTCGTGCATTCAAATTATTCCCGTTATTTACATAAAAATAAGAAGAGAATATTAGACAATGTGCTTTAACGTAA